GACCTGTATATATATATATTTGATTCTAGGTAGTAGGTTGGCAGACAGCAACCGCCTAGGGAGGTACTACCGTCCTGCCAAGTGAGTGTAAAACGAAAGCCTGTAATTGTTTTACATGATGGTAGGATTGCTGGTGTCTTTTTTCTGTCTCTTAAACATTCAAGATTTCAGGTATGTCTTGCTACTTCTACTTACACTTAGGTCACACTACACATACATGTACAAGCATATATATACACACCCCTCTGGGTTTTCTTCTATTTTCTTTCTAGTTCTTGTTCTTGTTTATTTCCTCTTATCTCCATGGGGAAGTGGAACAGAATTCTTCCTCCGTAAGCCATGCGTGTTGTAAGAGGCGACTAAAATGCCAGGAGCAAGGGGCTAGTAACCCCTTCTCCTGTGTATATTACTAAATGTAAAAGGAGAAACTTTTGTTTTTCCTTTTGGGCCACCCTGCCTCAGTGGGATACGGCCGATGTGTTGAAAGAAAGATATATTTATGATATTGCATTAAATGTGGACTAACTTGATTCATTCACTTTCCCTTTCAAAAAAGTGAAAAACAAAAAATAATAAGACCTTTTAAAAGTTGGTAATGGAAGAATGACCAACAGCAACAATGATATAACTTTAATACTCATCTTACATCTGAAAATGCAACAGTGTTTTCCTTCGCTAACTACAGGATTATGTAATGGAAATGTGGTGGTACCAATGAGCATCACAAACAAGCAGCTGGCTTTGCAGGGTTCAGCAGAACATTGGGTGCTTGGCCTTCTTTTTTCCACAGGAACATTCAAGAGCAAAATGATTACTTGCCAAGTGAGGACAGGGCACAGCTCCCTTGACTATGGACACTGCAAGAAATCCTGCTCCTCTCTATAAAGTTTGTGGGATGACATCAACTTTTTATTTTTTTATTAACACATCGGCCATTTCCCACCAAGGCAGGGTGGCCCGAAAAAGAAAAACTTTCATCATCACTGTCTTGCCAGAGGCATGCTTACACTACAGTTATAAAACTGCAACGCAATAAATCACTGATTTTTCTGGTGATCAATTATTCGGCCTCAAACATTATCCAGCAAAATGCTGCATAATCCAGTACTGGCCAGAAAACTGCTGCCTAAGACCTAGTCATAAATTTAAAGAGATATGCTTTGTAGAAAATTCTGAATATGAATATGAAAAAAAAAAAAAAAATTTGCACTATTTCGAGTTTTAGAAAATCTGGTGAACCTTCTCCCATCAGTGCTGAATAATCGATTATGATTCAGCATCGATATGTTCACTGTAGAAAAATCTTTTAGTGTGCTTGATTTGATGGTTGGTAGACAGCAACCACCCAGGGAGGTACTACCGTCCTGCCAAGTGAGTGTAAAACGAAGCCTGTGATTGTTTTACATGATGGTAGGATTGCTGATGTCTTTTGTCTGTCTCATAAATATGCAAGATTACAGGCATGTCTTGCTACTTCTACTTACACTTAGGTCACACTACACATACATGTACACATTTATTTATACACACTCATCTGAGTTTTCTTTGATTTTATCTTAATAGTTCTTGGTCTTATTAATTTTCCTTTTATATCCATGGGGAAGTGGAATAAGAATCTTTCCTCCGTAAGCCATGCGTGTTGTAAAAGTCAACTAAAATGCCTGGGAACAATGGGCTAGTAACCCCTTTTCCTGTAAAGATTACTAAAAAGAATAAGAAGAAGAAAATTGTCAAAGTGGGGAAGTCTGAATGTGCGTGGATGTTGTGCAGATGATAAGAAAGAGATGATTGTGGATGTTATGAATGAGAAGAAGCTGGATGTCCTGGCTTTAAGTGAAAACAAAGCTGAAGGGGGTGGAGAGTTTCAGGTGGAGGGGAATAAATGGGATTAGGTCAGGGGTTTCAAAATAGAGTTAGAGCTAAAGAAGGAGTAGCAATAATGTTGAAGGATAAGCTATGGCAGGGAAATGAGGGACTATAAATGTATTAATTCAAGGATTATGTGGAGTAAAATAAAGATTGGATGTGAAAAGTGGGTTATAATAAGCGTGTATGCACCTGGAGAAGAGAGAAGTGTAGAGGAGAGAGAGAGATTTTGGGAAATGTTGAGTGAATGCGTGGGGAGTTTTGAATCAAGTGTGAGAGTAATGGTGGTTGGGGATTTTAATGCTAAAGTGGGTTAAAAATGTTATGGGGGGAGTAGTAGGTAAATTTGGGGTGCCAGGGTAAATGTAAATGGGGAGCCTTTAATTGAGCTATGTGTAGAAAGAAATTTGGTAATAAGTAATACATATTTTATGAAAAAGAGGATAAATAAATATACAAGGTATGATGTAGCACGTAATGAAAGTAGTTTATTAGATTATGTATTGGTGGATAAAGGTTAAATGGGTAGCCTCCAGGATGTACATGTTTATAGAGGGGAAACTGATATATCGGATCATTATTTAGTTGTAGCTACAGTTAGTAGTAAGAGGTAGATGGAAAAGAGGAAGGTGGCAACAAACAAGTAAGAGGAGGTGAAAGTGTATAAACTAAGGAGGAGGAAGTTCGGGTTGAGATATAAGCGACTATTGGCAGAAAGGTGGGTAGTGCAAAGATGAGTAGTGGGGGGGTTTGAAGAGGGTTGGAATAGTTTTAAAAATGCAGTATTAGAATGTGGGGCAGAAGTTGTGGTTATAGGAGGGTGGGGGCAGGAGGAAAGAGGAGTGATTGGTGGAATGATGAAGTAAAGGGTGTGATAAAAGAGAAAAAAGGTAGCTTATGAGAGGTTTTTACAAAGCAGAAGTGTTATAAGAAGAGCAGAGTATATGGAGAGTAAAAGAAAGGTAAAGAGAGTGGTGAGAGAGTGCAAAAGGAGAGCAGATGATAGAGTGGGAGAGGCACTGTCAAGAAATTTTAATGAAAATAAGAAAAATTTTGGAGTGAGTTAAACAAGTTAAGAAAGCCTAGGGAAAATATGGATTTGTCAGTTAAAAACAGAGTAGGGGAGTTAGTAGATGGGGAGATGGAGGTATTGGGAAGATGGCGAGAATATTTTGAGGAACTTTTTAAATGTTAAGGAAGAAACAGAGGCAGTAATTTCATGCACTGGTCAGGGGGGGTATACCATCTTTTAGGAGTGAAGAAGAGCAGAATGTAAGTGTGGGGGAGGTACGTGAGGCATTACGTAAAATGAAAGGGGGTAAAGCAGCTGGAACTGATGGGATCATGACAGAAATGTTAAAAAGCAGGGGGGGATATAGTGTTGGAGTGGTTGGTACTTTTGTTTAATAAATGTATGAAAGAGGGGAAGGTACCTAGGGTTTGGCAGAGAGCATGTATAGTCCCTTTATATAAAGGGAAAGGGGACAAAAGAGACTGTAAAAATTATAGAGGAATAAGCTTACTGAGTATACCAGGAAAAGTGTACGGTAGGGTTATAATTGAAAGAATTAGAGGTAAGACAGAATGTAGGATTGCGGATGAGCAAGGAGGTTTTTGAGTGGGTAGGGATGTGTAGATCAGGTGTTTACATTGAAGCATATATGTGAACAGTATTTAGATAAAGATAGGGAAGTTTTTATTGCATTTATGGATTTAGAAAAGGCATATGATAGAGTGGATAGAGGAGCAATGTGGCAGATGTTGCAAGTATATGGAATAGGTGGTAAGTTATTAAATGCTGTAAAGAGTTTTTATGAGGATAGTGAGGCTCAGGTTAGGGTGTGTAGAAGAGAGGGAGACTACTTCCCGGTAAAAGTAGGTCTTAGACAGGGATGTGTAATGTCACCATGGTTGTTTAATATTTTATAGATGGGGTTGTAAAGGAAGTAAATGCTAGGGTGTTTGGGAGAGGGGTGGGATTAAATTATGGGGAATCAAATTCAAAATGGGAATTGACACAGTTACTTTTTGCTGATGATACTGTGCTTATGGGAGATTCTAAAGAAAAATTGCAAAGGTTAGTGGATGAGTTTGGGAATTTTGTGTAAAGGTAGAAAGTTGAAAGTGAACATAGAAAAGAGTAAGGTGATGAGGGTGTCAAATGATTTAGATAAAGAAAAATTGGATATCAAATTGGGGAGGAGGAGTATGGAAGAAGTGAATGTTTTCAGATACTTGGGAGTTGACGTGTCGGCGGATGGATTTATGAAGGATGAGGTTAATCATAGAATTGATGAGGAAAAAAAGGTGAGTGGTGCGTTGAGGTATATGTGGAGTCAAAAAACGTTATCTATGGAGGCAAAGAAGGGAATGTATGAAAGTATAGTAGTACCAACACTCTTATATGGGTGTGAAGCTTGGGTGGTAAATGCAGCAGCGAGGAGCGGTTGGAGGCAGCGGAGATGTCCTGTTTAAGGGCAATGTGTGGTGTAAATATTATGCAGAAAATTCGGAGTGTGGAAATTAGGAGAAGGTGTGGAGTTAATAAAAGTATTAGTCAGAGGGCAGAAGAGGGGTTGTTGAGGTGGGTTTTGGGCATTTAGAGAGAATGGATCACAGTAGAATGACATGGAAAGCATATAAATCTATAGGGGAAGGAAGGCGGGGTAGGGGTCGTCCTCGAAAGGGTTGGAGAGAGGGGGGTAAAGGAGGTTTTGTGGGTAAGGGGCTTGGACTTCCAGCAAGCGTGCGTGAGCGTGTTAGATAGGAGTGAATGGAGACGAATGGTACTTGGGACCTGACGATCTGTTGGAGTGTGAGCAGGGTAATATTTAGTGAAGGGATTCAGGGAAACCGGTTATTTTCATATAGTCGGACTTGAGTCCTGGAAATGGGAAGTACAATGCCTGCACTTTAAAGGAGGGGTTTGGGATATTGGCAGTTTGGAGGGATATGTTGTGTATCTTTATATGTTTATGCTTCTAGACTGTTGTATTCTGAGCACCTCTGCAAAAACAGTGATAATGTGCGAGTGTGGTGAAAGTGTTGAATGATGATGAAAGTATTTTCTTTTTGGGGATTTTCTTTCTTTTTTGGGTCACCCTGCCTCGGTGGGAGACGGCCGACTTGTTGAAAAAAAAAAAAAAAAAAAAATTACTATTTTTGGTCTATTACAATTTTCTTTACTGTTTTTAGTACTTCATTTATTTTATGTGCAATGGTTTCAATGAGCAAATTTACAGTATGTTGTGGATGGATGTATGCTTTGCACTGCACAGCACACATAATGACCAACTGGTTCCTGGGAGGAAAAAGTGGCGAGACTTGGACTCCCTTCACACAAATGACAGAAGGCTCTAAAAAGAATAGAATGGTGAAAGAGAAGTGGAAATGCAAGAAAAACAAGATTACAGGAGAATAAGGACACTGTTCAAAAACCAAGCTCTCTTAGTATTTTACTTTTTAGAAAACTCTAAATTTATACATCATACTGTACATGTAATAATTGTCAAAAGTTTACTTACCTTAAAACATATAGTCCTAGCAAGGATTGATACTATACAGAAAATATTCATCATGCAGTGGCAGTACTCACTATGCAGCAACACTGCTTTAATATCATTGGCAGATTTTCAAGAAGTTTCTTGGGGAAAAATATGCCAAGCAATATGCTGTTACAGAGATGGTAATAACTTTCAGTGGTGATTACTTGGCACCAATAATGTCACAGATGGTTAAGAAGGGTCAAATCAACAGAAACTCAATAAGACTGAGAGGTTTCAATAATCTAAGAGACTACCTATAAAAAATGTGTTTTTGGACATTTAGGGAATAATGCAAAGTTCTTCAACATTTGTACATTTAGAATAAGTATAGAAGTAGAAGATATTGTATCAACTGATAAGGTCCAAATTAGTAGTAGTGTACAGTTTTTAACAGTATACTGCATTAACAAGTGCAGAGTCTTGCATGTACAGGCATACCTCACTAAAAAACCATGCCATGGGCGGGATTTGAACCCGCGGTCAGAGTCTCTCAAAACTCCAGACCATCGCATTAGCCACTGGACCAGCTAGCCACAATAAGATTCGTCCAACTAGGTATATTTCTACACCATAGAAAGGTTAGCATAGGCACCACTGTGACCACAAATGCAAGTTTTTACAGACGAATCTCCAGCTAGCGTGGCCATGACAAACTCTAGCTGGGTTCAAATCCCGCCCATGGTATGGTTTGTTTGCAATCGTGTCATTACGATTTCGTGAGTCATACCTCACTAATATGGTGGGTTAAGTTCCAGACTACTGCCATAAAGCAAATATCACCATAAAGTGATCACAGCCTTTTTTTCACTTGCCAGTGCATATAAAAGGCTAAAAGCATGTTTACACTATCATTTATTAAGTCAGCAATAGCAGTAAGCTTATAAAAAAGATACGCAAGTAAAAAATTTTTTTTTTTTTTGAAAACTGAAGAAAACCATCTTGAGAACAAGGCAAGCACCAAAAATAATAAACATGAATATAATTGAAAAGCACCGTATTAGCAAAGCGCTCTAAAGCAAGCACTGTATTAACAAGGTGTGCTGGTATTGATTCCCATTTGCCACCATGCTCAAATGTACTGACTACTCAGTCAGTAACAGGAATGTAGTTGGCTGCAGTACCTAAGCTATAAGATGGAAGGCAAATCATGCATTACTGTACACAAACTGCATTACAATTCAGGAAGAGATATTGTGTGTAGAAGAGGCATTTGAACTGAGGTAAAAACAACTACTGAATGAATGAGGGTGAATGTGTTTCCTTCTTTGGGTCACAATACCTTGGTGGGAAATGGTTGGTGATAAAAAAAATATACAGTGGACCCCCAGATTAAATCCGGTGCAGAAATCGTACAATTCGGATTTCGACCACTTTTTTTGGCAAAATTTTACCTCAGGTTGTGTACATTCGCTCAGAAATTGTCCATACCAGACGCGTCCCCCTGGACCGCTCATATATTTGTGACTCACTCTTGGGCACATTACGTTAATATACACATTTTCATGATTTCCATCTATGACATTTTCTTCAAAATTATACAAGAAACCCATTACATAGCATATAAACATGTCTTTGTTACTCATTCACTAAGAGTGCCTCTCTAGTCTTAACCGCACAGTAATAATACTAATACGTAATAATAATCACTCTTTGACATATTAAATGTCTTATTTTACATTAATATAGACATTTTCATTAATCCATCTATGATATTCTCTTCAAAATTATATAAGAAACACATTACATAGCACATAAACATGCAATGTTTATATGCTATGGAGGGATGGTAGTCGGTGGAGGGACAACATTATGTTTTCTTTGGACCAGCATTAGAGATAACGTGTACGAATCTGCGTTGGCCCAGTCACCGCCCTTAATACGTAACGCTTTTGTTTATAATTCTCGGCATGAATTATTCATTACTTTTCCCTCTGTTTATGATGGCATCTAAGGGTAGCTGTTAGAAACAATTAAACTCAGTGAACATGGTATGTCGATGGTAATAATATGGCTCTGGGCTGCAGTGTAGGTAGCTGGTAGCTGTAGCCCAGGCAGGCTACACCTACTGGCTACCTACACTGACTTCCTACAAATAAATACTACTTACCTCTCGCCCTACATTAAGACTACAAATATTTTAAGGTAAGTAATGAAAGTACTGTGTATATATTTTACCTTTTATTGAGTTTTTTAATGCCTAGTTCTATTACTAACTTAATTTATTTTTTGTTAATATTTTTTGGTGTCTAGAACGGATTAATTGGATTTACATTATTTCTTATGGGAAATATTACTTCCATTTTCATCCATTTCGGATTTCGACCTACCTTCTGGAACAGATTAAAGACGAAAACCAGGGGTCCATTGTATAAGATAATTTTAAGATGTTTGGAGCCTAATTATGTTTTCTATATATTTTAGTGCACATACTGCACATTTTTATGTTGCACAATAATTTTCAGGAATGTATCTACTGGGCTAAATGAGATTCTACTATAATGGTAGCAGTGATTCACAAACTAATTTAGAGAGACAAACCAGAGCTTCAATGCACTCCCACAAGCACAAGTAGCTAACTGCAATACACACTCACACTTATATATCCACTGGCAACATAGTGTCTTCAGCATAAACAGGCCAAAGCGATGCCTAATTAAAAACTCTAGTTTATGGTAGCAATTTTTGGTATGAACTGTAGCAAAAATACTGCACATCTTTCCTGTCATAATTATATCAGTAGACCAATTAATGACTGTGAGCTAAGAAAATTCCTTATTACCAATGCACTATCAGTACAAGTTGTCTCACTCTATCCAGAAAATACATTCTGCCTTAGCTATTTAAATTCAAACGAAGCAAAATAAATTAATTTTATATTAAACAACTATATAATATATAATGTACAATGTATGGAGTGAATATCATGCAGAGAATTTGGAGAGTAGAAATTAAAAGGGAATATGGAGTGGCCAAGGGTATAATTTAGAGTACTGAGGAGGGGGTAAGGTAGTTTGGGCATGTAGAATGATCAGGGATAGGTTAATGAAAAAGGTGTATAAACCTGGAGTGGAAGGTAGAAGGGATAAGGAATCATTCCAGGAATAGATGGAGGGAGGGGGGACAAGAGGCATTTGAGTTTTATGAGCCTGAGTGTCCAGCAGGCGTGTGTGAGCATATTTGTGTGAGCATGTTAAGATTGAATGGAGACATGTGGCTTTTAATATATGTGCTGTTAAAGTGTGAGCAGGGTATCTTTTATGAGGGAATTCATGCAAACTATTTAGCCAGACTTGAGTCCTGGAGTTGGGAAGTCAGTGCCTGCACCCTGAAGGAGAGGAAGGGGAAATGTTGCATTTAGGGGTAACCCAATTGTAATGTTAGCACACTTCTGGCAAAATGGTGACTGAATGAATATTGGTGAATGTGTTTTAATCTTTGGGTCACCCTGCCTTGGCAGGAAAGGCCACTGAGTTAAAAAACTATAACAAATCTACTTGAAATATTCTACCTCACCTTGAATGCATGCATGCACACGCACACACACATATACGAGTGCACTACTGCCACGAAATAATCTCCCTAAAAGTTAAAAAATGAAAGAACAGTAAGAAAACTATACAAAAATAAATATCTAATGAGTTTTCCATATACTGGAGGTTATCACTAGCTTTAGACTGCCTGAAATGCTTGGCACAAGAGGCATTTTTCAGAATGTGCAAAAACTGTAATCTCACATCTGTTTCAAATCTGTACATAAGCAAATTTGATCCCATTTATTATAATATCCATGTTTTAAAGAAAAAAGTTTGTTGTTTTTTGTTGTCTATATTTAAAACTAAGAAGATAGATGTATTCCTAGGTAGAAGGTTGGTAAAAAGCAACCACCCAGGGAGGTCCTACCGTCCTGCCAAGTGAGTGTAAAATGGAAGCCTGTAATTGTTTTAAACGATGGTAGGATTGCTGGTGTCTTTTTTTTCTGTCTCATTAACATGCAAGATTTCAGGTACATCTTGCTACTTCTACTTACAATTAGGTCACACTACACATACATGTACAAGCGCATATATACACACCCGTCTGGGTTTTCTTCTATCTTCTTACTAGTTCTTGTTCTTGTTTATTTCCGCTTATCTCCATGGGGCAGTGGAACAGAAATTTTCCTCTGTAAGCCACGTGTGTTGTAAGAGGCAACTAAAATGCCAGGAGCACTGTATACAGTACTAAATTTAAAAGGAGAAACTTTCGTTTTTCCTTTTGGGCCACCTTGCCTCGGTGGGATATGGCCAGGTTGTTGAAAGAAGTAAAAGAAGATGGATGTATTGTTTTTACCAGCAATGTTCCTTCATAATTCAAAGCTGTCTTACTTGCACCATTTATATCTTATTTAGTATTCCAAAGACAAAAGTTTAAAAAATTCTATGAATAAAATTGGGAGAAGTGTTGCTTACAATTAAAAAAAAGAAAATTAACCCAGTTAAAGGCAATACGACCAAGAGAGATTACCAATTTTTTGTTGAGACCTTTATGAGCAAATATAATCAAGCATTAAAAAAATAAGAATTAATCAACATTTAATGAAATCTTGAACCATTATTAATGTACACATGCAACACCCTACCTCGGTGAGAGACTGCCAGTGTAAAAAAAAAATGCCAATATACATTTTGGTGCTAATTTTTACATCTATTCATCTTTGCCAAATTGAACTAGTAGCAACTCCAAATGTAGCCAAATATCAAGCATGCAAAGAGCTTTTAAGTCAAATGATGTAAACAAATTTCCCAGAACTTCTATCAAAAGCATTTTTGAAGTGTGCTATTTATTTGTTATTCAAACAAACATTTTTACAATAATCAATTGCATCTCTTAGTTGTTCCTATTAATTAATTTTCATGAACTCTACATATGATTATATACTGTATAACCATATAAAATTTATTAAAGCAATTAAAAATAAAATGCTGAGTTCTTTCTAAAGAACCTTGTATCTGCCCTGAGCCTTGACAGGACCTGCGCTGGTTCTCAGTTTCACGAGTTCTTCACGTATTAATCGAATGATCTCAGCCTTGGCTTTGGACACTGCTAACTCAGAAGTAGATTCAATAGCTAAGAAGAGTTTGCGCTCCCCTTCGGGTGGATTTTTACCCTGAAAGAGATAAATCAATGTAGGTACAGTGAGCCGAGAGATTAATGATCGTATTGAACACCACTGATACATATATACTCTGTTAGACTGCCACCAAAAGTGCATTATATTCTACCAATACACAAGGACATTAGGTACATACCGCAGGACAGAATGTCCCTCTGACTGTTATTCCAGCCTCAGAATATTCAGAGATTTGGGCCAGAGCTTCCTTACTAGTTACACGCCACCTGAAATGTAAATAAATCTCAGAATAATAGAACAAAAATTTAAAATAAGTGTAGATAAACAATGGTTTAACCCATTCCTGTAAACAGACAAATTATATCATGAGCCCTTCTCATTAAAAAATATTTTGGGAAATAAAAGGATGCAAAAGTATGTATTTTCCTATGAATGAAGAGCATAAGTACAGTCGAATCTCTGTTTTCGTATGCCCTAGTTTGTATGTAAAACTATAGTTATTCTTTATAAAATATATTTTTTGTTAATATTTTTGGGTGTCTTGAATGGAGTAACTGGATTTACATTATTTCTTATGGGAAATATTGCCTCCATTTTCATATGATTCGGTTTATCATCAGACTTTTTTGAACGGATTAATCATGAAAACCGACGATCCACTGTACACATAAACATTTAAACAAAACTCAAAAATTGGCAATGATGCAGGACACATCATACATCAGCATAATGCTATAATACAGTCAACCCTCAACTAACGGCGGAATTAAGCAACGGCAATTTCATCTAATGGCGCTTTTTGCTGTAGAAAAAATGCCTTAACCAGTGGCGAAAAACTTAACCAACGACGTTCGTATGGAACCTGTCAATGTGCACTCAGCCACTCCAAGAGTCAGTGTGCCATTGTTTACAAGCTGTTGCGGTCGGTTTCCACGTGTACCTCCCATACATTTAGGATTATTCCGCTGTTTCTAGTACTTGTAACCACTAAATAAGCCACCATGGACCCCACGAAAGCTTCTAGAGCCAGCCCTTTGGTAAAGGATGTGAGAAACACAATAGAATTCAAGAAAAAGTTTGTAGAAAAATACGAAAGTGGTGCTGGTAGAAGGTGGTAGTGATGGTGGTAGAGGGTGGTAGTGATGGTGGTAGAGGGTGGTCCAGTGATTCTCAAGCTGGTCCTAGTGGCATTAAAAAACCAAGAAGGGAGGTAACCCCACCAAAGGACTTGGTACCTGAAGTCTTTATGGAAGGGGATTCTCCTTCCAAGCAATAGACATTCCTGAATCTCCCCTGCTGCTGGCACATCACTCATCAACAACTCCACAATAAAGGTAAGTGGCATTTAATTATTGTTTATTTTGCATGTCCCATTCCTTTCCATATAAGGAAATGTATATTTCATGTAAAAAAAAAAATCAGACTTTGGCATGTCAGTAACGGATTAATTCTATTTCCATTATTTCTTATGGGGAAAATTAACTCAACCAACGGCAAGCCCTCTGGAACGGATTAATGCCATTGGTTGAGGGTCCACTGTACCTTTAATTACAGTAAATATAACATACCTAAGTATAAATTTTTTTTTAAATATTGAGCAAAAATCCACTAGGAAAATTGTAATTATAACTCCTTTATATAGTGGAACAGAATTCTTCCTCCGTAAGCCATGAGTGTTGTAAGAGGTGACTAAAATGCCGGGAGCAAGGGCCTAGTAACCCCTTCTGTATAAATTACTAAATTTAAAAAGAGAAACTTTAATTTTTCTTTTTGGGCCATCCTGCTTTGGTGGGATACGGCTGGTTTGTTGAAAAAAAAAAAAAAAACTCCTTTATATCTGTAAACTGAGGTTCACAGAAGAGTACCCAAGTTTTTTCTATTTTATTAAACATTATTCTGATTTAACAAACGCTTGAACAATCCTCCCATTAGTCCATTATATCAAGAGTTTACTGTATGAAGAGCATGCATTACCACAATTTTTTTTTCACCATCATTTCCCAAGGTAAGTGGATGCATTCATGAAATTATTGTCTTGTCAGAAGCATGCTTACATCACAATTCAGATGGCAACATCCTCACCCTTCCTACAGAGTGCAGAACCTGTACTTCCCATCTACAGGACTAAAGTCCAGCTAACTGGTTTCCATAAATCCCTTTATCAATTCTATAGTTCACCTCGTCTTTCACAGACCCATTTGCCGACAAGTTCACTCCCAAATATTTGAACACATTCACTTCCTCCATACCCCCTCCTTCCAATTTGATATCCAATCTTTCATTACCTAAATCATTCATTACCCTCATCACCTTACTCTTTTTTTTTTTCTTTCAACAAGTTGGCCGTCTCCAACCGAGGCAGGGTGACCTTAAAAGAAAAACGACACTAAAAATTCTTTCCAATTACTTTTTACTCTCATTTTTGTGATTATCTTTTCTCCAGGTCCCTTTGTCTTGGTCCCTTCCATGTCTTAATCTCTGTCTATTCTCTCAAAAATTCTGTAATCTGTGATCATCTATACTATTTCTCACCTTGCCTGCTGTGGGAAGTCGTTGATCTCAAGCTCTTCCTCATACTTGTGATGAGTCTCCTCTGCAGCTTCTTCCTCCTCCTCTTGATCATCACGTGGCTGATAATTCAACTTATTATTCAACTTCTGTGCCATCTGAAAGAAAATAATTAAATATATATTAGATGAGAATAACAAAAATCTAGGAAATGAAAGATGGAATATCAGATTGGAGGGATGGAGTATGTAGGAAGCTTGGGTTGTAAATGCTGCAGCAAGGAGGTGGTTGGAGGCAGTAGAGATGTCCTGTCTAAGGGCAATGTGTGGTGTAAATATTATGCAGAGAATTCGGAGTGTGGAAATTAGGAGGTGCGGATTTAATAAAAGTATTAGTCAGAGGGCTGATGAGGGTTTTTTTAGGTGGTTTGGTCATTTAGAGAGAATGGATCAAAGTAGAATGACATGGAGAGCGTATAAATCTGTAGGGAAGGAAGGTGGGGTAGGGGTCGTCCTTGAAAAGGTTGGAGAGAAGGGGTAAAGGAAGATTTGTGGGCGAAGGGCTTGGACTTCCAGCAAGCATGCGTGAGCGTGTAAGATAGGAGTGAATGGAGATGAATGGTATTTGGGACCTGACGAGCTGTTGGAGTGTGAGCAGGGTAATATTTAGTGAAGGGATTCAGGGAAACCGGTTATTTTTATATAGCCGGACTTGAGTACTGGAAATAGAAAGTACAATGCTTGCACGTTAAAGGAGGGGTTTGGGATACTGGCAGTTTGGAGGGACATGTTTTGTATCTTTATACGTATATGGTTCTAAATTGTTGTGTTCTGGGCGCCTCTAAAAAAACAGTGATTATGTATGAGTGAAGTGAAAGTGTTGAATGATGATGAAAGTATTTTCTTTTTGGGGATTTTCTTTCTTTTTGGGTCACCCTGCCTCGGTGGGAGACGGCCAACGTGTTAAAAAAAAAAGAAAAAAATCTGGGAATGGATGTGCTGGCAGATGGTTCTATGAAAGACAAAGCAAACCATAAAATAGATGGAGGAAAAGAAGTGGGTGGTGGTACGAGGCATCTGTGGAGACAAAGTTTTATCAATCTATGGAAAAAAAGGAAATGTGCCCGAGTATAATGGTATCAACACTGTTATGCGAGTGTGCGGCACACTTTTTAAGGCTTCTGGGATTTTAACCAGATGTAAGCTATTTCTCCATCTGGCAAGGTGTGGGAAATCTTTAGTATATGTGATGTGTTTGGGTAATTAGCTGGTGTCATACCTGCACTTCAGTGAATAAATACTGAGCATCCACTACTTAACTTTCTTGTTTGAACACCTTTTCATCCTTTATTATCAATCACCAAATTGTTGAATTGCAGCTAGAGTAAATATATCACCATGAAAGGCATGAGAATGTGTAATTAGTGAAATTACAATAATGCATAAAAATAAAATTTTGTCAATTCCTGATACTAACACACACTGAATATTCTCTTCAAACTTTTTTATACAGAAGTCTTATATAAATTAAACATTTAATAGTTACGTAAATTTCTTTTCTAACATTAATTAGGAAAGAAAAATGCTATCTAGTGGCCATGGCTTGCTTTCACGCTTAGAAAAATGGAGGGAGGCTGTTCAGAATTGAGCATGGCACCACTTAGTGACTCAACAATAAGACTGAGAAAATCTACAGATGCTATCCAAAATTCACGATATCCTTTTTAGACTATGTGTAGTATAAAGATTTTTTATGTGCTATCAAAATTTTGGTCATACATCATCAATTGCATTTCAATAAAATTGCATTAGGTGAAGTCACATTACACGAGGGCTTATTTACTACTGCATTTCATTACAAAGAATGTTGCTGACAAATATACTGTCACGATGTACCTGTTCTGCAACTGTTTTGGCAGATATGGTGGGTTGCATAGCTGCTCCACCCTTAAGAATAAACTCTGCTGCTTGCTGACTGGCACCCTTGGCCTCTTTGCCTATATTGTGCTGAAGATTGATGCGCTGAGCCAATTTACGGGCCAGTTCCAACTTATCAGAAGCAGAAGGACCACCAAGAGGCATTCCTGATAATCCATCCCCTTGTGATGAAGATACCTCAGTAGTCTGTGAAAATATTAAAGCCTTAATTTTTTATGACAAACAAAAATCTCAAAATTTATATTACTGGTTACTTCAATAACTGACTATGTAATAAAATAAAACTGAAAATAATAATATACAGTGTACAACAACAGTAAAGATAGATTTCTATATTAATAATATTTTATATTATTTTTAAAAACATGCAAGTGCTTCACACATCTAAACTTAAATTTCAACTTAACAGGCACAAAAGTTATCTTGAAGAAGTGCCACACAAGACAGATGAACAAGCTGTACAAATGCACTCACTGGACAGAAAGACAATGAACACAACTAACCACCTTAATCTCCTTGACTGTCCTCTTAGTGTTTAGCATACTCTCAATCTGTTGATCAATATCCTGCTCAATGTCTTCGTCATCAGAGTCTGCCAGACCCAAAGCAGCTTTTTCAAATTTCTTTTTCTCAGAGGCAAAGTTTGCCTCTGACTCATCAAATTTGTAGCCTTTACCATGAAAGCCTCCACCTGTCTTAACTTTTTTGCCCTCTCCCTCCATTTTCTGCTTATATTCATCATAAAATTTCTGAGAAGGAAAAGAAAATTAATACCTCAAAGCTAAATTTACATTATTTTCATACCAATCAAAAGCTGCACAAAAACTTGAAAAGGCAATGGGGTATGAATGACAATAAAATATGAAAGAAGAAATGCTAAGTCAGATTTCACAGATAAGAGTACTTTATTGACATGTACTGAGAGTACAGTAAATGAAAAATTAATTGTTACTGAAAATATTAACAACACTACACTACCTTTAAGGAGAAAGGTTATACTTAACATCAATAAAAACAATACTGGAGATATAGAGGAGGTGTGGGGTTACTAAAAGTATTATCCAGAGGGCTGAGGAAGGGTTGTTGAGGAAGCTTTAACATTCAGAGGAGATGGAGCAAAATAGGAGGACTTGAGGGTATATTAATCTGTAGTAGAGTGAAAGCAGGGTAGAGGTTGTCCTAATAAAGGTTGGAGGGGTTAAAGGAGGATTTGTGGGTGAGGGGCTTGGACATCCAGCAGGTGTGTGTGAGCATGTTAGATAGGAGTGAATGGCGGCAAATTGTTTTTGGGACTCGATGAGCTGTTGGAGTGTGAGCAAGGTAACAATTTGCAAAAGGATTCATGGATTCTTGGAGGTGGGAAGTACAGTGCCTGCACTGTGAAGGAGGGTAGAGATATTTGCAGTTTGGAGGGGCATCTGAACTGTAGTATCAATGCACCTCTGGCAAGACAGTAATAGAGTGAATGATGGTGAAAATGTTTCTTTTTGGGTTACCTTACCTCAGTGGAAGATGGCTGGTGTGTTGAAAAAAAATGCTTCTAATGGCTGGGATAGCAACAGTGAAGTATAGAAGTTGAATTATAAAGGATTGAACAGCGAGGAACTGGGTATGAAATCAAAAGTCTGAGTGGCAATAAAGGTATGATTCACATTTTTTTTTTTAAAATAGGCAATCTCTTACCATTGTGAGCTGACTCGAAAAAGAAGAAACATTTTTACAGTCACTCATTCATCACTGCCCTACCAGAAGCATGCTGATATCAAAGTTCAGATGACTCTGAAATGCAACATCCCCACTCTTCTCTCAGAGTGCAGCACTGTATTTCTTACCTCCACAAATCAAGTATGGCTAACTAGAATTTATATCCTATCCCCATGAAAAAAAAAATCAGGTATGATAATTTTATATTAGCAACTTGATTTTGGTAAGGAAATAAAGCACTTGCAATAAATAAGAAGACATATGCCATTATTTAAGTGTTACAATACTGGTATATTTCAGTATCTTTCCATTATTTTTCTGAAGGAGATATTCAATTACTGTCAACATTAATTAGCCAAGTAGGTAGTAAGTTGGTAGACAGCAAATGCCTATGGAGGTACTATCATCCTGCCAAGTGAGTGTAAAACAAAAGCCTGTAATTGTTTTACATGATGGTAGGATTGCTGGTGTCCTCTTTTCCGTTTCATAAACATGCAAGATTTCAGGTTCGTCTTGCTACTTCTACTTACACTTAGGTCACACTACATATACATGTACAAGCATATATATACATACCCCTCTGGGTTTTCTTCTATATTCTTTCTAGTTCTTGTTCTTGTCTATTTCCTCTTATCTCCATGGGGAAGTGAAACAGAATTCTTCCTCCGTAAGCCATGCGTGTTGTAAGAGGTGACTAAAATGCCGGGAGCAAGGGGCTAGTAACCCCTTCTCCTGTACATATTACTAAATTTAAAAGGCAAAACTTTCGTTTTTCCTTATGGGCCACCCCACCTCAGTGGGATACAGCTGGTGCATTGAAAGAAAGAATATTCAATTACTGTCAACATTAATTAGCCAAGTAGGAAGTAAGTTGGTAGACAGCAACTGCTTATGGAGGTACTACCGTCTTGCCAAGTGAGTGTAAAACAAAAGCCTGTAATTGTTTAACATGATGGTAGGATTGCTGATGTCTTTTCTGTCTCATAAACTTAAATTAGATATCAAATTGGAGGAGGAGGAGTATGGAAGAAGTGAATGTTTTCAGATATTTGGGAGTTGACGTGTCAGAGGATGGATTTATGAAGGACGAGGTTAATCACAGAATTGATGAAGGAAAAAAGGTGAGTGGTGCATTGAGGTATATGTGGAGACAAAAAACGTTATCTATGGAGGCAAAGAAGGGAATGTATGAAAGTATAGTGGCACCAACACTCTTACATGGGTGTGAAGCTTGGGTTGTAAATGCTGCAGCGAGGAGATGATTGGAGGCAGTGGAGATGTCCTGTCTAAGGGCAATGTGTGGTGTAAATATTATGCCAAAAATTCTGAGTGTGGAAATTAGGAGGTGTGGAGTTAATAAAAGTATTAGTCAGAGGGCTGAAGAGGGGTTGTTGAGGTGGCTTGGTCATTAAGAGAGAATGGATCAAAGTAGATTGACATAGAGAGCATATAAATTTGTAGGGGAAGGAAGGTGGGGTAGGGGTCATCCTCAAAAAGGTTGGAGGGAGGGGGTAAAGGAGGTATTGTGGGCGAGGGGCTTGGACTTCCAGCAAGCATGCATGAGCGTGTTAGATAGGAGTGAATGGAGACGAATGGTATTTGGGACGTGACGAGCTGTTGGAGTGTTAGCAGGGTAATATTTAGTGAAGGGATTCAGGGAAACCGGTTTTTATATAGCAAGACTTGAGTCCAGGAAATGGGAAGTACAATGCCTGCACTTTAAAGGAGGGGTTTGGGATATTGGCGGTTTGGAGGGATATGATGTGTATCTTTATACGTATATGTTTCTAAACTGTTGTATTCTGAGTATTCTTCCTATGGTGTAGAAATATATCTAGTTGGATGAATCTTACTGTGGCTAGCTGGTCCAGTGGCTAATGCGACGGTCTGGAGTTTTGAAACTCTCTGATAGCGGGTTCTATCCCTGTCCGTGGTATGGTTTGTTTGCAATCGTGTCATTACGATTTCGTGAGTCATTCTGAGTACCTCTGCAAAAACAGTGATTATGTGTGAGTGAGGTGAAAGTGTTGAATGATGATGAAAGTATTTTCTTTTTGGGGATTTTCTTACTTTTTGGGTCACTCTGCCTCGGTGGGAGACGGCCGACTTGTTAAAAAAAAAAAAAAAAAAAAAAAAAAAAAAAAAAAAAGATTTCAGGTATGTCATGCTACTACTACTTACACTTAGGTCACATTACACATGCATGTACAAGCATATATATACACACCCCTCTGGGTTTTCTTCTATTTTCTTGCTAGTTCTTCTTGTTTATTTCCTCTTATCTCCATGGGGAAGCGGAACAGAATTCTTCCTCCATAAGCCATGTGTGTCATAAGAGTCGACTAAAATGCTGGGAGCAAGGGGCTAGCAACCCCTTCTCCTGTATACATTACTAAAGTTAAAAAGAGAAACTTTTGTTTTTCTTTTTGAGACACCCTACCTAGGTGGGAAATGGCCAGTTTGTTGAAAGAAGAATAATTAGTCAAAGATTATCTCATACAATCAAATGGTATTAACCAAATAAAACATACATGAATTAATAAACAACTCTTCAGATTAAAATTGAAACATACTTGAAGGTCTGCAGGCACAGGTGTTTCTGATAATTCCATGGCACGAATAATTTCACCTGCATAACGAGGCTGATCACGAGTTAGGAACGTATAGGCATAGCCTTTGTTTCCAGCACGACCAGTGCGGCCACACCTACATTTAAGAAAAACATAAATGAGATGAGAGCCTGAAAGACTTCCTATGAAAGAAAATTTAAAAAATTATTAATTTTTTTAATATTTCCTTAACAATCAAAGACCCTGTAATAAATATAAAATACATTACTCTAATAAATTAAACTATTCTTTACCAGCCACTTATTAAAATGTTTTAAAGCTTTTTCAGAATTAATATACAGTATGATGAACTTAATACGTATTCTTCTGCATCAATAAAATTAATTAAAACTATCATGACATTTCTGCATTAAGGTCTACATCTTTTATTAACCCGTAAACGGTCCAAACGTATATAAACGTTCACTTCCGTACTTCCCCAACATTTCTTAGAAAAAAACATTGCTGTTTTTTAATAGGAAAAAAGAGCATATGGTACCCAGGCATCCCCAATTATTTTAATATGGTGCACAGTGAGTGCTCACACCCATTCTCTCATGTCTAGGTGACTCAGGCTTATCGTGACAATGTTAAATGTATGACACATAAAACGTATATATATGTTTGGGGCACTAGCGGTAAAAACGTATATATACGTTTGGACCGTTTACGGGTTAAAGACCCTTACCAATAGTTTATTGTGTACACCATACTCATCCTGTGAGCAGTGGCGAATAAAGAATGACTGAGGATACAAAGAATCTCTGTCAAACCCAGATGGTAAATATCATAATGGAATCACAGAGCTGAGTTGTTTTTAATATTATTCTCATTTTACTATATTGCAGTTAATCTCTTCAAGCCACTTTATAATTATTAACTGCCAATTTCATAACGTTATAAACTCAGAGAACATTGGAAATACGTACCCTGTATGAGGGTAGATTTTTTGCTTTAATGACCACAGTAACAACAGTCAGTCACATACAAAAAAGCAGTCATCGACTTCCTGGACCAAGGCACAACGTCGCCAGCAAACACCACCTCCAACCTCACCTGTTAAGCGCGTGGTGACTTGTTTCAACTGTGAGAAATGCGGGCACTACCGATCGGAGTGTTACAAACCTAAGTCCCCGCAAAGTAACCGTAACCGTCCCCATGCTCAGAGTAACCGTTAACCCAAGTTGTACTACATGGGATGAGGCTATCCCAGATGTTCAGTGTACATTAAATTCCTCCCTCAACAGCTCGATCGGTGAGACACCTCATTTTGCTTTGTATGGCTATGACAAGCGCTTACCATATGAAATTCTGTTTGCTACACCTAGACCTACTTACGATACTGATAACCCCAGTGTAGTAAAGATGAGGACAACGCAGCTTGTCTTCCAGCGGGTACGAGAGAACCTTAAGAAAGCTACTGATAGGTTCACGTCGGAGCGCAATGCCCGCGCCAAGGAAAGCAAAGTGGAACCAGGTTGCAAAGTTATGTTGCTCAACCCAGCGCAGACCCCAGGTATGCACAAACTTGTCCCAAAATTCGTGGGTCCTTAGTGTGTCCTACGACAGCTCCGTGGCAATAAGTTCAAGGTGAGGGAGATTGCTACGGGAACTATTAAGGAAGCTCACCTTGATCACATGAAGTATGTGGACCATGTGCAGGCCGAAGCAGAGCTGGAGTTGCGTGCGTTGCAACGCCACAATCAGACCAATGCTAGGGACAACCAGTCTATCCCGTCTCCCACTACTACTGGTATGGAAGACGGCCCAGTAAGGCTCCATACTTATGGCCTGCGACCCAGGACAACAGTACATTTCTGTGACATTGACGTACCTACTGACTTGTCTGACTCCTACGCTAGTTATGCTAATTGTTTGCTTGCAGAAATGGGTATAAATGCGCACACATTGTATAGCTAGTCGATAATGGAGTCAGAGTGGACAACATCATGTAATTATGTAAATACTTTTAGAAGGGTACCCAGAGTGTAATGAATTCCATGGATATAGTATTATTGTAGGTATGTGCACCCAGTGTTTTTATATAAAAAAAAAAGAGCCTGTATTACAGTCAGGGCAGTGCTGCCCTCTGTGTCACATGTCACACCTTAGGAAATGCTACTGTCAGTCATTGTTTGCAGATGTGAGGGTGCAACATCGTTCGTAGACGAGTGGTCAACTGATGTTCAGCCCTGCGGACAACCTGTATATAGAAGATTTTAGTTCCAGTGCTGACGTCTCTGGACTCTCTCCTCGATGAAACAGCGCGGGCAAACCAGTTTTCTCTTTCCCTGGTTGGGAGAGTTTTTTTTTTGCCTGTTGCATTTTTATGTCCATTTTTGATTTACTAGTGAGCGAAAGCCAGTCCCTCTCTGGGGTAGCTAGTGTAAGTAATTCCTTTATACCTACGGGCCCACCAGTATTGTCGCATTGGGACGACGCGAGGTGCGTGGCCGAGCAAATGTAGACAGCCTGTACTGTCAGAACACACAGCCTAGCCGTCTGCTCTGACTAGTTCATATTTCGCGGCATTTAGGTGCTGCCCTCTGTAGGCTCACCCAGGTCAGTGGGAGGCTCAGCCCATTCGCTCTCACTCCTAGGCCGACCCTCTTGATAGACACAAGTGCTCCCCCTCCACGGACTGGCTTGCGGTCACTCCCTCACACTGCCCGTTGTGTACTCACTCCTACCCAATTAAAGCCAAACTAGTCCACGGCCGTATCATTGCTACCTACGCTACCTTCATCGGCACTAAACCGCTGTTCAGCAGCAAGAACAGCAATAACACCTGTATGAGGGTAGATTTTTTGCTTTACCTTCTTATTTAGGTGAATCACAATCAACTACTAGACTAGCAAGAACAGGCAAATCAAACCCATTTAGATAAAAGTTATTGTGCCATTTTTTCTAACCCAATCTTCATATGCAGAGTATATGTAAAAATAACTGCATACCTCTTTGATTTGGTGACCACAAGAAAACAAAAACAAATTTCTGAATAGTAAGGACAACTGCACAGTTCTAAATTGTCAGTGACAAACACTTTAATCAACACAGTGAGAGCTAGGATAAGAATACTTTTTCTTTTTATACACCAACCACTTTCCACTTAGGTATGGTGACAAAAAAAAAAAAAAAAAAAAAAAAAAAAAAAAAAAAAAATCACCACCACTCATGCTATCACCATCTTACTGACATTACAGTTCAGATGCCCCTTGAAACTGAAATATCCCCACCCCTCCAGTGCATGCAGTGTACTTTCCACCTCCAGGACTCAAGTTCGGCTAACTAGTTTTCCCAAATCCCTTCAGCACATTATGTCCTAAAGCCCACTTGCCTCCACTCACTCCTATCTAACAGGCTCATACACACATGTTGGACATAAAACAAGATAGGAATATTTATTGACTAAACTGGCCCATGGCCGGGTTCCAGAACAGAAAAACTCTCAGAACTCGTCAAAGGTAAACTTAGCCCGAGGCTTAAAAAGCTTGAAAATTCACAAGAATTTACTAACTCTTTACATTTCTAACCAAGCAGAGAGATGGATTTTTTAATTTTAACACCAAAAACTTGTTAATGCCTTTCTGAAGTATAAATTATTATTCGGGTATGGTTAGCTTGCTTCTAGAGTATTTAAAAGTAAACAGCTAATTGTTAATCTTAAAAAAGAAGGCTGGTTTCTCTTTCACAAAATTGCCTTGATTTGTAGTTAGTAGCCAAATTTGCATTTTAAGTGTCATTACAGTGGATGTGGACTAAGACTGACATCTGCTGAAAATTCATGTACCTAAAATATAGGCATGCCAACATAGTTTTACATTTGATGCTGTAGAAAGTAAAATGAGCTTAAGAGTTGAACACGTCCCTATTTATGAAGGCAAACACAAAACAAATGCTGGGATGAACCAATGTCGAGTTACTGAACAAGGGGTGACTATTGACATATGCTTTAAATTACCTTTATGATAACACATACAAATTGGGAATTTTTTAAATACATTACTCAACCTGCTACTTAATCACTAGAAACATGGCAATTACATTAGTTACCTATGAACATAATCCTCATAATGATTGGGACAGTCAAAGTTGACCACCAAAATAAGCTGTTTGACATCAAGACCTCGAGCTGCAACAGAAGTAGCCACCATGATAGGTACTCTTCCAGCTTTAAAATCTAAGATTGTACTATCTCGATCTATTTGGTCAACACCACCATGCAGCACTAGAGCCCGATAAGAGTGGCTCAGCAAGTCCTGACAAAAAAGAAAAAATATGTTAAATTATTTTATATGTAGCAACCTTAACACCTAAATTAGGTATCACATACAGTACCTATAAAGTCACATATTCAGTCATAAATGTTTGTGAATTTATTTGTAGGTCAGAGACCAAGTGCTTAATTGACTGATTCTATTAAAAGTATCTATGACACTATAACATCAAAGCAATTTATGATGTACATAAAAAAAAAAAGTGAGTGGTGCATTTGAGGTATATGTGAAGACAAAAAACATTATCTATGGAGGCAAAAAAGGGAATCTATGAAAGTATAGTGGTACCACCACTCTTATATGGGTGTGATGCTTGGGCTGTAAATACTGCAGTGAGGAGGCGGTTGGAAGCAGTGGAGATGTCCTGTCTAAGGGCAATGTATGGTGTAAATATTATGCAGAGAATTTTGAGTGTGGAAATTAGGAGAAGGTGTGGAGTTATAAAAAAGTATTAGTCAGAGGGCTGAAGAGGGGTTGAGGTGGTTTGGTCATTTAGAGAGAATGGATCAAAGTAGAATGACATGGAGAGCGAATAAATCTGCAAGGGAAGGAAAGCGGGGTAGGGGTTATCCTTGAAATGATTGGAAGGAGGGGGTAAAGGAGGTTTTGTGGGCGGGGGGCTTGGGCTTCCAGCAAGCATGTGTGAGCATGTTAGATAGAAGTGAATGGAGATGAATGGTTTTTTGGATCAGACGAGCTGTTGGAGCGTGAGCAGGGTAATATTTAGTAAAGGAATTCAGGAAACCAGTTATTTTTAAATAGCTGGACTTGAGTACTGGAAATGGGAAGTACAATGCCTGAACTTTAAAGGAGGGGTTTGGGATATTGGCAGTTTGGAGGGATATGTTATATATCTTTATATATGCTTCTAAACTGTTGCATCTGGGTGCCTCTGCAGAGACAGTGATTATGTGTGAGTGAAGTGAAAGTGTTGAATGATCATGAAAATATTTTCTCTTTTTGGGTCACCCTGCCTTGGTGGGAGACAGCCAACTTGTTGAGGATAAGAAAAAAAAAATTACACACATTTTAAAACACTTGGTCCCAGAGTAGAAACTGAGAAATGTTGATAAAACAAATACATTACAATAAATGGAATAAGTGTGAATAAATGGGAAGTACAATGCCTGCACTCTAAAGGAGGGGTTTGGGATATTGGCAGTTTGGAGGGATATATTGTGCATTTTTATACATATATACTTCTAAGTTGTTGTATTCTGGGCACCTCTTGAAAAACAGTGATTATGTGTGAGTGAGGTGAAAGTGTTGAATGATGATGAAAGTATTTTCTTTTTGGGGATTTTCTTTCTTTTTTGGATCACCCTGCCTCGGTTAGGGGCGGCCGACTTGTTGAAAAAAAAAAAAATCTACAATAACAACTCATAACCTAATTGAAAAAGAGAGCAAAATAAAAACATGAGACCAAAGGGGGAAATGAATATTAATCTCAGTCCATACCATATCCATTGTCTGTTACAAATCAGAACAAATTTTGACAAAAAAGATAAGCCATCCCTGCTATTTAGGTAGAAAAATGGGTTAATGAATTTTTAATAAATCAGACTGAGTGACTAAATGACTATCAACATATGGTGACTATGTATTAGGGATATGAAGACTAAAGGCATTTTAGAAAAGAGAAATGAAGAGCATACAGAAAGCTATCTGGACCCAGAAAGGTGCCACAAAAAAATAAAAATGCATCATGCAACTCCTGGAGCACACAGAAGACATTATAGTTTTTATTTCTGTGAGAAATAAAATTTAGGTTATGTAACTCCTGATGATGTTTATTCATATAGAGAGGAGGGATACCTCCTGAGGATAGAGGCAAAGTATTCCATTAAAGCAGTGGTGACTGTACCAAAGTCAGCTACTGTAATTTTCAAGTTGAGGAATGCTCTGGGAAGATTTTTTGGAAACCTCTCATACCCACTTCCAAATCATCAAAAGTCCTAGACATGAAAAAGGTATATGAAGCACAATGAGCAGATTTCAGGAGCCAATGAAAGTGAGCTCAAGTCCAATAAAAATAACTTCTTGAACAAATGCAAGTGAGTCAAAGTTTAACAGAATTCTCCTCCTAAGTGTTTCACTGTTATGGTTAACATGACAACAAATAATAGCAAGCCCAGCACCAGAGCATGGTTAACTTTTACCTCAAAGATGCCCCCTCCCCTTCCCAGTCATGAAGTACAAAATTCAACCCAGAAGTACAGATTACACAAGTTAAAACAGTACCATTTTCTGGAAAAATTATCTACTAGAAAGCAGAGCTCACAAAAATCATAAAAGCAGGACCATGATGATGTATAAATCTGGGATGGATGGAAAGAGATGTATAGAAAACCCCAGAAAAAAATTGAAAGTTTTTCCTTACCACAGTCACCACTTTCAATTAGGGCAGGATGACCCAAAGATGGAAACACATTCCCTAATACTCACTAATGAATGTCTTACCAAAAGTGTGAGGACATCACATGTCTGAACCAAAACATCCCCACCTACTCTTTATCCAAGATAGTAACAGAGAATATTTGGAGTAAAACTTGGTGATTCTGAAGATCACTGCTGCAGGACAGGGGTACAACATGCAGCACTTATCAGGTACTATTATTTTAATTACCCAAGTTTTAAATAAAATCTAATTTAAAAATTCCACCTTGAATAATGAGTCAGCATTCTCCTGTTTGTCAACAAAGATGATGGTCTGACCACGCTCATAAAATTGTCCAAGGATCTCCAACAGCTTAAGGAATTTCTGGTCTTCATCAAGAAGTACAACCTCCTGTGTCACATCTCTGCACACAACAGATCTTCCCCCAACCTGGAACAGGTCAAGTAATACAATATTTATCATTTCAAAAATATTGGAAAATAAAATAAACAGAGATTACAATTGCTCACATGAGATATGCAGAGAAATTAGTGTGCTTCTAAGTTAGTTAAATCAAGGTGACTTGCAATGTTTGTCAAACAGTAGTGACTTTAATGTTCATCAAATTGGGTTGCCTAAAACAGTTACTGCATTGTGAGTTAAATTTTAGTTAGTTACTGTAATGTTTGTTAAATTTCAGTAAGTGTAAAGTTTGTTAATTTTAGTTCATGAAAATGTTGGTTAAACTGAGTGAATGAAATGTTTGTTAAAAATGTAGTAATTAAATATTTGTTAAATCAAAGTGCCTGTATTATTTGTTAAAGCAGGCTGATGACAATATTTTGTTAACCAAGGTGCCTGAATTGTTTGTTAACCCTTAAACAGTCCAAAGAGATTGACGTTCAAATTCGTAGTGCTACAAAAGTAGATCTACTTTTTTTTACATATTTTCAAATATAACAAAAAAAAATGTAGATGAAAGTTTTTTTTACACGTTTTCAAATGTAAAACAAAAAAGATCTACATTTTTTTACATACTTTCAGATGTTGAAAAAACGTATATATACGTTTGGACCATTTAAGGGTTAAATTAGGATGCCTGTAATGTTTTTTTTTTTTTTGCTTTTTAATGCTGCTATGCAGTTTATTTCAATAAATTAGTACACACTAAAGAGAGAAAATTTTAGATGTACTGAACCATCTTGGATCATTATCTTGTTAAAACTGAACAAGAAAAGGCAGAAAAAAAAACAGAAGACAGGCTAGGAAGGGAGGGGGAGGGATAGACAGCGATGGTAACGGCGGTGGTGGTGGTGCCAAATTATAGGTCTTTACAGAATAATAATAATGTTAAGAGTGTATGGCATAAAAAAGTTTATATTTCTAACAAAATAATTAAAGACTGTTTTTTATGTGTATAAGCAAATAATTTGTCTGACATACTCCATAATTTCTGATAAATGACTAGCAAAGATACATTCTGGGACACAAAGCTAAAGAAAGATCATTATAGATATCTATTGGAATCAAGGATACGTATAATGAAAATTTTGCATAATTCCACCAATTCATTATTTCTCCAGTACCATAAGAATGATTCTTTCCCCACTCCAGCAAACAAAATTTTTTCCACCAAGGGGTTTACACTGTAGTTATATAACCCTTTATTTTAGGAAGGTCTATAACTGTAGGACATAAATCATAGCATCATAACATCCTTTGATGATGACACCAGAATCTTCATGCGAGTGGTGTCCGTCAAAGATACAGTAAATCTTCAGGCAGATATAAACCAAGTCTCTTAGTGGGCCTCAGATCACACTATGTTGTTCAACGAGGACAAGTTTCAGTTGATCCGCTTTGAAAGAATAGAAGAAATGAAGACTGTAACATAGTCCAGGACAAACTCAAATCATTCAAGTACACTATATGTAAAGAACAGAGGTGTCCTTATATAGGGGCACTCCAAGATAATTGTGTAAATTAATATCATGACTTACCATTATTTCAATTGGTTTAGTAAGTATTTTTTTGGCTAGTGCTTCTACTTGTCGCGGGAACGTAGCTGAGAACATGACTGTCTGACGAGCAGGTTGAATATTTTCTATTATTCTCATAACCTGAAAAAATTGATAAAGATTAAAAACACATTGTTCTAAAAATCTAAAATAACTTTAAAGTTTTTAAAGGATGAGAACTATATGAAAAATACTACAAAAATTTTAAATGACTAGTAGATCAAGAATTATACTTTGTGACCAAGAGCATAACCAATGACTTCATTTACTATGACTATAAATTACAGAAAGCTGTTCACATACGATAGGTTTTATATACAAAATTAACACAGCCACTTTCAATCAAGCTGGGTGACCCAAAGAATTAAAAACAGTCACTATCACTTTCATTCCAGAAGGGTAAAGACATCATAATCTAATGATAATATACAATATACAAATAATCCACACACTGGAGAATGAAACTTATAACATGATTCGGTCCAACCAATCGGGCCAAAATGTCATCGTAAGTTTCATTCTCCTATGTGCGGGTTATTTGTGCATCCCTTCATTAATATTAAACATGCCCACACTTCAACAGTATATTAAATTACAAAAACCACTTGCCTCCCATTACTCCAATCTAATATGCTATTTGATGTTCAAGCCTCTATCTCTCAAAACTTCTTTCAAACCTTCCTTCCAACCTTTCCTAGGAAATTCCCAAAACCAACCCACAGATTTACACAGTGCTACTCACATGTTCTCAGGGTTTACATTCCCTGAGGCCTCAGGTCCAAAAACTAGGTTCAGTACCACTAAATGCTGTCTGTATTATAAATTCCATTTTAGATTTGCTCTCATTTTGGGCTTCAGAGGTCAAAGCTCTTAAAATATTGCAATAACATTAATAGTGACATTCAAAAAGAATGCTTTAAAAAAAAAAAGGCATTTGGATGTGGAAAATCCAGTGAGCACATTTTCAAGAAATTCTATGGGTAGTTTTCAACTTAGAGGCTGCACTCCAAGACACTATATTTTTTTTTTTTTTTAACAAATCGGCCGTTTTCCACCGAGGCAGGGCGGCCCAAAGAGAAAAACAAAAGTTTCTTTTTTTAAAATTAGTAATGAATACAGGAGAAGGGGTTACTAGCCTCTTGATCCCGGCATTTTAGTTGCCTCTTATGACACACATGGCTTACGGAGGAAGAATTCTTTTCCGCTTCCCCATGGAGGCAAGCAGAAATAAACAAGAAGAAGAACTAGTAAGAGAGAAGAAAACCCAAAGGGGTGTGTATATATATGCTTGTACATGCATGTGTAGTGTGACCTAAAGTAGAAGTAGCAAGATGTACCTGAAATCTTGCACGTTTATGACAGAAAGAAGACACCAGCAATCCTACCATCATGTAAAACAATCACTTGGCAGGACGGTAGTACCTCCCTGAGCAGTTGCTGTCTTCCAACCTACTACCTAGGACTATAAAATTAACATAGTAAAAATTCACAAATTCAACCAACCTGCGGCTCAAATCCCAAGTCAAACATACGATCTGCTTCATCTAGCACAACATATGTGACTCTGCGGAGATTAGTGACTCGTCCACCATTAGCAGCTAACATGTCAATCATTCGTCCAGGAGTACACACAATAATTTCTGCACCACGTTTAAGTTCAGCAATTTGCTCTGATATTCCTGTACCACCATAGACACAGCATACTCTCAAGTTGTTTTTGGCAAATTTCTTGCACTCTTTACCTGTTAAAAATAATTGTCTACCATGTTATAAACAAGGGTTTTACAGTTTACAGTGACTTCAATCAATCTGCATAATGCATATATGCCAGAACAAACACAAATGAATAATGAAGTGATACAACATACATTAGTTGTGATCCTTGATTCAAATCAGTTAACTATTTTGTAGAATGCTGTGCATTTATAAAACTCTTATAAAATTATACTAAATTAATAAATACATTTTTTATTAAAAAGATAAGAAAACAAATTGTTAGCCTTTAGTGATAATAGTACTTAAATCAGTGTCAAATATAATATTCTCAAGGATAATCCCTATGCACATAATATAAAATACATAAGCTAAAAACCAAAACACTTTTATAACACTATTTTATATTCACCATCATGACTTAAATTTTATTGGCCTATTAGTCTTTAAAAAAATAAGAGCAACTGACTTTATATAATGCATTTCAGTATATTTTAGGAAGGACAAGGTGGAGATAAAAAACCAATTAGTAGTACTTGCCAATCTGCATGCAGAGTTCACGAGTGGGAGTCATAATGATGGCAGTAGGACCATCTGTATCCTCCAGTGGCGGCTGATCCACAATATGCCGAAACATTGGGAGAAGAAATGCCAGTGTCTTTCCTGATCCAGTCTTGGCAATCCCTATGACGTCCCTACCTTTCATGATGGCTGGAATAGCCTGATAATGAAATTAAGTTGAATAAAAACAATAGAGTTGCAATATACAGTGGACCCCCGGTTAACGATATTTTTTCACTCCAGAAGTATGTTCAGGTGCCAGTACTGACCGAATTTGTTCCCATAAGAAATATTGTGAAGTAGATTAGTCCATTTCAGACCCCCAAACATACACGTACAAACGCACTTACATAATTGGTCACATTCGGAGGTAATCGTTATGCGGGGGTCCACTGTATAACGTTACTCTCAGTAATAATGTAACTATGTATGTATTCAGATCAAACTGGTGGTAAAATCCTTACACTGACATTAGTAAGAACAAATATTTATCATTATTTTTCTGCACATACACTAAACACTTGATTTAATGGACTTCAATTTTTTTTTTTTAACACATTGGCCATTTCTCACTGAGGCAGGGTAACCCAAAAACAAAGAAAAACCCAAAAAGAAAGAAAAATACTTTCATCATCATTCAACACTTTCACCATCACTCATACATAATCACTGTCTTTGCAGAGGCGCTCAGATACAACAGTAAAGAAGTCCCCCCAAACTGCCAATATCCCAAACCCCTCCTTTAAAATACAGGCATTGTACTTCCCATTTCCAGGACTCAAGTCAGGCTAACTGGTTTCCCTGAATAACTTCACAAAATATTACCTTGTTCACACTCCAACAGCTCATCAGGTCCCAAAAACCATTCGTCTCCATTCACTCCTATCTAACACGCTCACGCATGCTTGCTGGAAGTCCAAGCTCCTCGCCCACAAAACTTCCTTTACCTCTTCCCTCCAACCTTTTCGAGGACGACCCCTACCCCACCTTTCTTTCCCTACAGAGTTATACACTCTCCAAGTCATTCTACTTTGTTCCATTCTTTCTAAATGACAAAATCACCTCAACAATCCCTCTTCAGCCCTCTGACTAACACTTTTAGTAACTACATACCTCCTAATTTCCATACTCCGAATTTTCTGCATAATATTTACACCACATATTGCCCTTAGACATGACATCTCCACTGCCTCCAGCTGCCTCTTCGCCGCAGCATTTACAACCCAAGCTTCACACCCATATAAGAGTGTTGGTACCACTATACTTTCATACATTCCCTTCAAAAATATAGGACAATATCCATGGAGTCAGTTGATCAAAAAAATAATGGACAAAATCTGCTGATTACAGAATTATCCATTATTGTCATGATCATGGCAAAACACCCTCATTTCTATCCATCACAATCCTTATTACTGACCACCCTCTTTTCCCTATTATTCCATTAAATTGCAGGTTTACTGTATGTCTAACTATAAAATTTCTTTGCTAAGACAAGTCAAGAAGCAAGAGAAATTGCTAAATAATGGGCCTTTGAACTTTGTATACAAAGAGGTTTAATAAGAGGATAAATAAGTATGAGATATGATAAGGAGAGTAAAAGAGGTTAAGAGAGTGGTGCGGGAGTGCAAAAAAAGAGCAAATGAGAGAGTGGGTGAGGTTGTGTCCAAAATTTTGCTGAGAATAAGAAAAAGTTTTGGAGTGAGATTAATTGGGTGAGAAAGCCTAGGGAACAAATGTAGATGAGGGAAGTTATTAGATGGGGAGGTGGAGGTATGGAGAAGATGGCAGGATTATTCTGAGGAACTGTTAAACATTGATGAAGAAAGCTACGCAGTGATTTCATGCACTGGTCAGGGAGGTATAACATCTTTTAGGATTAACCCTTTGAGGGTCGACAGGCCCTCTCCGAGACTCGTTCTCAGGGTCGGCCAAATTTAAAAAAAAAAAAAATAATTTTCTCTTACGAAAAGATAGAGAATCTTTTCCCGATCATAATGACACCAAAAGTTTGAAATTTGATGGAAAACTTACGGAATTATGCTCTCGCGAAGTTAGCGGTCTCGGCGATGTTTACACATCGGCAATCTTGCCCAATTTGAGCCCCATTTTCGGCCAATTCCACTGTACTAGTTGACAAAAAACATGAATATTTCGCTAGAACTCCATTTTTTCTATCAAATGAGTGCAAGAAACCACCCATTTATCAATTTCAACTATCCAGTACAGTGGTCAGAATTTAGCAATTTTGCCAATTTCACACAAATTTCAAAAGATGCCAATTTCCGAATAGGGTCCAGAATAAACAAGAAAGACATTCCTGGCACTAAAATGACATTTTCTCTGTTCATTAGTCACGTCTCAAGGCCCCTCTTACATTCTTTTGTTTTCCACTTTGAATTTTTATTCTCACAAAAAATAGAAGACTTACTGTTATGCAGACTACTGCATTAGTGTAAAAAATGGTATAAATAATATTGGCATACTTGCGAAAGAATATTAGACTCACCAGTTGACGTGTATTGGACGCTTGGCATGATTTGTTTACTTTTGAACTTTGGTAAAAATTGAACATTTCTGCTACTTTGAGCTCAATTTCAAGGTACTTTTCATTGTAAAACCAGTCAAAATCATCTCTATTTCTGTAATATGTCTTCCATTCTATAGAATGAGACCAAGAAAACTAGAATACAACAATAAATACCATACGAAAATACAGTGCAAAGTCGCTGTTTTATTAAAAAAAACGGTCAAAGTTTTTTTTTCTCATTATGCACTGCCTGCTGCAGGATTTTTTTTATACTGTGCACACTGACCACATAGACCCATTCTTTCATATGTAGGCCTACCAGCTTTCTCCCACTAGATTTGAGGGTGCTAGAATTTAGGCGTACTAGTACGTCAAAAACCCTGGGTCGTAAGCCGTACTAGTATGGCCGAAACCCTCAAAGGGTTAAGGAAGAACCGGATATGAGAATGGGTAAAGTGTGTGAGACAGTGGGTAAAATGATAAAGGTAAAGCAGCTGGGACTGATGGGATCCAGACAGAAGTGTTAAAAGAAGGCAAGGATATAATTTTGGAGTGGTTAGTACCTTTGTTCAATAAATGTATGAAAGAGAGGAAGGTACCTAAGGATTGACAGAACATGTATGGTTCCTTTGTATAAAGGAAAGGGGGGGGGACAAAAAGAGTGCAAAAATAATAGGGAAATAAGCCTGTTGAGTATACCAGGTAAAGTATATGGTAGAGTCGTTATTGAAAGAATTATGGGTAAGACTGAGAGCAGGATCGCAAATGAACAAGGAGGCATTAGAAAAAATAGGAGAGGTGTAGACCAAGTGTTTCACTGAGGCATATAAGTGAACAATATTTAGATAAATGTAAGGAATCTTTCTTTGCATTTATGGAATTAGAAAAGGCATGTGATAGGGCGGATAGGGAATTAATGTGGCAGGTGTTGCAAGGTATGGAATAAACCATACCATGGACGGGGATATAACCCATGATCAGAGAGTCTCAAAACTCCAGACCGTCGCGTTAGCCACTGGGCCAGCTAGCCACAATAAGATTCATCCATAGGAAGGTTAGCATAGGCACCACTGCAACCACAAATGCAAGTTTTTACAGACTAATCTCCAGCTAGCATGGCTGTGACAAACTCTAGCACAAGTCCCCTCAAAGCCATCAACATGACTCACGAAATCGTAATGACACGATTGCAAACAAACCATGTTGACGGCTTTGAGAGGACTTGAGCTAGAGTTCGTCATGGCCATGCTAGCTGGAGATTCGTCGGTAAAAACTTGCATTTATGGTCACAGCGGTGCCTATGCTAACCTTCCTATGGTATAGAAATATACCTAGTTGGATGAATCTTATTATGGCTAGCTAGCCCAGTGGCTAACGCAACGGTCTAGAGTTTTGAGACTCTCTGGTCGCTGGGTTCTATCCCCGTCCATGGTATGGTTTGTTTGCAATCGTGTCATTACGATTTCGTGAGTTAAGGTATGGAATAAGTGGTTCATTACTGAAAACAATTAAGATTTTAATAAGGAATGTGAGGCTTAGGTTAGGGTAAGCAGGAAAGACTATTTTCCAGTAAAAGTAGTCCTTAAGACAATGATGTGTAATGTCACCATGATTATTTGACATATTTATAGATGGAATTGTAAAAGACGTGAATACTAGGGTGTTGGGGAGAGGTGTGTGATTAAAATATACAGAATCTGAAACAAAGTGGGAGTTGTCACAGCTCCTTTTTGCCAATGACACTGCTTTTGGGGGATTCTGAAGAGAAGTTATAAAGAATAGTAGACAAATTTGGGGGGTATGTAAAAAAAATTAAAAGTGAACAAAGAAAAGAACTAGGTAATGAAACACTGAATATTAGATTGGAAGGAGGGAGTACAGAGGAAGTGAATATGTTCAGGTAGTAGGTTGGTAGACAGCAACCACCCAGGGGGTTACTACCATCTTGCCAAGTGTGAAACAAAAGCCTGTAATCATTTTACATGATGGTAGGATTGCTGGTGTCTTTTGTCTGTCTCATAAATATGCAAGATTACAGGTACGTCTTGCTACTTCTACTTACACTTAGGTCACACTACACATACATGTATATGTTTATTTATACACACTCATCAGAGTTTTCTTTGATTTTATCTTAATAGTTCTTGGTCTTATTACTTTTAGTTTTATATCCATGGGGAAGTGGAATAAGAATCTTCCCTCCGTAAGCCATGCGTGTTGTAAAAGACAACTAAAATGCCGAGAACAATGGGCTAGTAACCCCTTTTCCTGTAATAATTACTAAAAAGAATAAGAAGATGAAAATTGTCAAAGTGGGAAGTCTGAATGTGCGTGGATGTTGTGCAAATGATAAGAAAGAGATGATTGTGGATGTTATGAATGAGAAGAAGCTGGATGTCCTGGCTTTAAGTGAAACAAAGCTGAAGGGGGTGGGAGAGTTTCAGTGGAGAAGAATAAATGGGATTAGGTCAGGGGTTTCAAATAGAGTTAGAGCTAAAGGAGTAGCAATAATGTTGAAGGATAAGTTATGGCAGGAAAAGAGGGACTACAAATGTATTAATTCAAGGATTATGTTGAGTAAAATAAAGGTTGGATGTAAAAAGTGGGTTATAGTAAGCGTATATGAACCTTCAGAAGAGAGAAGTGTAGAGGAGAGAGAGAGAGAGATTTTGGGAAATGTTGAGTGAATGTATGGGGAGTTTTGAACCAAGTGTGAGAGTAATGGTGGCTGGGGATTTCAATGCTAAAGTGGGCAAAAATGTTGTGGAGGGAGTAGTAGGTAAATTTGGGGTGCCAGGGGTAAATGAAAATGGGGAGCCTTTAATTCAGCTATGTGTTGAAAGAGGTTTGGTAATAAGTAATACATATTTTATGAAGAAGAGGATAAATAAATATACAAGGTATGATATAGCATGTAATGAAAGTAGTTTGTTAGATTATGTATTGGTGGATAAAAGGTTGATGGGTAGGCTCCAGGATGAACACATTTATAAAGGGGCAACTGATATATCAGATCATTATTTAGTTGTGCTACAGTTAGAGTAAGAGGTAGATGGGAAAAGAGGAAAATGGCAACAACAAGCAAGAGGGAGGTAAAAGTGTATAAACTAAAGGAGGAGGAAGTTCGGGTGAGATATAAGCAACTACTGGCAGAAAGGTGGGCTGGTGCAAGTATGAGTAGTGGGGGGGTTAAGAGGGTTGGAATAGTTTTAAAAATGCAGTATTAGAATGTGGGGCAGAAGTTTGTGGTTATAGGAGGGTGGGTGCAGGAGGAAAGAGAAGTGATTGGTGGAATGATGAAGTAAAGGGTGTGATAAAAGAAAAAAAAGTTAGCTTATGAGAGGTTTTTCCAAAGCAGAAGCGTTATAAGAAGAGTAGAGTATATGGAGAGCAAAAGAAAGGTAAAGAGAGTGGTGAGAGAATGCAAAAGAAGAGCAGATGATAGAGTGGGAGAGACACTGTCAAGAAATTTTAATGAAAATAAGAAAAAATTTTGGAGTGAGTTAAACAAGTTAAGAAGCCTAGAGAACGAATGGATTTGTCAGTTAAAAACTGAGTAGGGGAGTTAGTAGATGGGGAGATGGAGGTTTTGGGAAGATGGCGAGAATATTTTGAGAAATTTTTAAATGTCGACGAAGAAAGGGAAACGGTAATTTCATGCACTGGCCAGGGAGGTATACCATCTTTTAGGAGTGAAGAAGAACAGGATGTGAGTGTGGGGGAGGTGCGTGAGGCAATATGTAGAATGAAAGGGGGTAAAGCAGCTGGAACTGACGGGATCATGACAGAAATGTTAAAAGCAAGGGGGGATATATAGTGTTGGAGTGGTTGCTATTTTTCTTTAATAAATGTATGAAAGAGGGGAAGGTACCTAGGGATTGGCAGAGAGCATGTATAGTCCCTTTATATAAAGGGAAGGGGGACAAAACAGATTGTAAAAATTACAGAGGAATAAGTTTACTGAGTATACCAGGAAAAGTGTACGGTAGGGTTATAATTGAAGAATTAGAGGTAAGACAGAATGTAGGATTGCGGATGAGCAAGGAGGTTTCAGAGTAGGGGATGTGTAGATCAAGTGTTTACATTGAAGCATATATGTGAACAGTATTTAGATAACGCTAGGGAAGTTTTTATTGCATTTATGGATTTAGAAAAGGCATATGATAGAGTGGATAGGGGAGCAATGTGGCAGATGTTGCAAGTACGTGTACATATGGAATAGGTGGTAAGTTACTAAATGCTGTAAAGAGTTTTTATGAGGATAGTTAGGCTCAGGTTAGGGTATGTAGAAGAGAGGGAGACTATTTCCTGGTAAAAGTAGGTCTTAGACAGGGATGTGTAATGTCACCATGGTTGTTTAATATATTTATAGATGGGTTGTAAAAGAAGTAAATGCTAGGGTGTTCGGGAGAGGGGTGGGATTAAATTATGGGGAATCAAATACAAAATGGGAATTGACACAGTTGTTTTTTTGCTGATGATACTGTGCTCATGGGAGATTCTAAAGAAAAATTACAGAGGTTAGTGGATGAGTTTGGGAGTGTGTATAAAGGTAGAAAGTTGAAAGTGAACATAGAAAAGTGTTAGGTCATGAGAGTATCAAATGATTTAGATAAAGAAAAATTGGATATCAAATTGGGGAGGAGGAGTATGGAAGAAGTGAATGTTTTGAGATACTTGGGAGTTGACGTGCCAGCAGATGGATTTATGAAGGATGAGGTTAATCATAGAATTGATGAGGGAAAAAAGGTGAGTGGTGCGTTGAGGTATACGAGGAGACAAAAAACGTTATCTATGGAGGCAAAGAAGGGAATGTATGAAAGTATAGTAGTACCAACACTCTTATATGGGTGTGAAGCTTGGGTTGTGAATGCAGCAGCAAGGAGGTGGTTGGAGGCAGTGGAGATGTCCTGTCTAAGGGCAATGTGTGGGATAAATATTATGCAGAAAATTCGGAGTGTGGAAATTAGGAGAAGGTGTGGAGTTAATAAAAGTATTAGTCAGAGGACTGAAGAGAGGTTGTTGAGGTGGTTTGGTCATTTAGAGAATGGACCAAAGTAGAATGACATTTAGAGCATTTAAATCTGTAGGGGAAGGAAGGCGGGGTGGGGGTCGTCCTCGTAAAGGTTGGAAGGAAGGGGTAAGGGAGGTATTGTGGGCGAGGGGCTTGGACTTCCAACAGGCGTGCATGAGCGTGTTCGATAGGAGTGAATGGAGACGAATGGTATTTGGGACCTGACGATCTGTTGGAGTGTGAGCAGGGCAATATTTAGTGAAGGGATTCAGGGAAACCAGTTATTTTTATATAGCCAGACTTGAGTACTGGAAATGGGAAGTAAAATGCCTGCACTGTAAAGGAGGGGTTTCAGGATATTAGCAGTTTGGAGGGATATGTTGTGTCTCTTTATACATATATGCTTCTAAACTGTTGTGTTCTGAACACCTCTGCAAAAACAGTGATTATGTGTGAGTGAGGTGAAAGTGTTGAATGATGATGAAAGTATTTTCTTTTTGGGGATTTTCTTTCTTTTTGGGTCACCCTGCCTTGGTGGGACACGGCCGACTTGTTAAAAAAAAAAAAAAAAATTGGGAGTGAACTTACTGGCAGATGAGTCTGTGAAAGTCGAGGTGAACAATAGAATTGATGAAAAAAAAATTGGGTGGTGTACTAAGGCATATGTGGAGACAAAGAACATTATCCACGGAGGAAAATGGAGAATGTACGAAAGTATGGTGGCAACAACACTCAATGACAAAATGTTTAGTATTTATTTATTTTTATTAACACATCGGCCTTCTCCCACCAAGGCAGGGTGGCCCGAAAAATAAAAACTTTCATCATCATTCACTCCACTGTCTTGCCAGAGCTGTGCTTACACTACAGTTATAAAACTGCAACATTAACACCCCTCCTTCAGAGTACAGGCACTGTACTTCCCATCTCCAGCCTGCCGGTATCCCTGAATCCCTTCATAAATGTTACATGGCTCACACTCCAACAGCATGTCAAGTCCTAAAAGCCATTTGTCTCCATTTGCTCCTATCTAACACACTCACGCAAGCTTGCAGGAAATCCAAGCCCCACACACACAAAACCTCCTTTACCCCCTCCCTCCAACCTTGTCCTGGCCAACCCCTACCCTGCCTTCCCTCCACTACGGATTTATACACTCTCGAAGTCATTCTATTTTGTTCCATCCTCTCTACATGTCTGAAATACCTCAACAACCTCTCCGGATAACAGTTTTGGTAATCCCACACCAACTCCTAATTTCCAAACAATGAATTCTCTACATTATATTCACACCACACATTGCCCTCAGACATGACATCTCTACTGCCTCCAGCCTTCTCCTTGTTGCAACATTCACCACCCATGCCTCACACACATATAAGAGCATTGGCATAACTATACTCTCATACATTCCCTTCTTTGCTTCCATGGACAAAATACTTTGTCTCCACTGATTCCTCAGTGCACCACTCACCTTTTTCCCTTCATCAATTCTATGATTCACCTCATCTCTCATGGACCCATCTGCTGACACTTCCACTCCTAAATATCTGAATACATTCTGATTACAATTTTGCAGAGATGGGTCTTAATAATTAAGATGGTAGACTATCTTACTTGTACTTGAATTGGTGTTGGTTTCTCGTAATTACTCTTCTTCAACACATCTAAGATCCTCTTGCTGACTCCACATTGGGCCCAGGTTTTAATTGGCTTTGGACATCCCTGACCCTTGACCTTGATGCCCTCCAACTCCGCCCTTGCAAAACAAAATGGTATAATGGATCAAATAATGGTTACAGGTAAATCAAAAATACATTACAGTCACTTAGCTCTCTTAAAAAGCTTCTTTACATAGTTAATATTGCTAATGCAACTGCAAAATTACATCCAAAATTGAATAATGCTTGGAAAGACATTCATAGTACCAGCTAATCAATTTTGGATATACAGTGGACCCCCGCCTTACGATATTAATCCGTTCCTGAGAGCTCATCGTAAGCCGAAATTATTGTTAGCTGAATTAATTTTCCCCATAAAAAATAATGGAAATAAAATTAATCCGTTCCTGACACCCCAAAGTATGAAAAATTTTTTTTTTTTACCAGATGAAATATTAATTTTCATACAAACAAACTGAAGAAGACATGCACAAATGCTACTCTACTAAGAATAGAATACATGACACTTGCCTTTATTGAAGATCTGGTGATGATTGATGGGATTGGAGGGGAGAGTATGGAAGTTATTGTTTAGAAGGGGAATCCCCTTCCATTAGGATTTGAGGTAGCAAGTCCTTTTCCGGGGTTACTTCCCTTCTTCTTTTAATGCCACTAGGACCAGCTTGAGAGTCACTGGACCTCTGTCGCACAACAAATCTGTCCATAGAGCTCTGTACCTCCCGTTCCTTTAAGACTTTCCTAAAATGGGCCATAACATTGTCATTGTACAGGTTGCCAACACAGCTTGCAGTAGCTGTGTCAGGGTGATTTTCATCTGTAAAGGTTTGCAGTTCAACCCACTTTGCACACATTTCCTTAATCTCTTTTTTCAATTCCATATTAATTCTTGCCCTTTTTACCACAGGGATGGCACTAAAAGCTTTCTTGGGGTCCATGGTGACTTATTTTGCAGTTACAAGCACTAAAAGCACTGGGATAATGTGAAATGTACCGAATGTATGCGTAGATGCGACCGCACTGGCTGGCTTGTAAACACTGGCGCTGAGGTCACACGTGGGACGCGTCCCGGACGAATCACGTAAGGCGAGTTTTTTATCGTGAGGCCAGGCAAAATTTTTGCGTTCAAATGCTTCGTATGGCGGATTTAACGTAACACGATAAGTTTTGTAAGATAGCATACTGTACATGAAGAAGAAAATACATTATAATTACCTAATGTCATCTGATTTCTTTACTTTCATCCTTGACAAAAAAAAAAAAAAAATCCAAATTATATGACCCAGCAGTGTTTATTTACAGACTTCCCTGCTATACTGAACTATGTATCAACTTTATTTTTGGTTATAACATGAAGAACATTTTCAACACTGGAGGCTAGTTCCTTATTTACCTTATGCACATAACATTTTTCATCTTCACTACTAGACTGTCAAATTCAAATTTTGTAATTCATGTTATATGTTTCTGTGTACCATGTTTCATGCTTGTATGTGAGGAGTCCAGGTATATCCTCCAGAGGATGACATAGCAAATATTTTCTCAGAAATATATATGTACAGTGGACCCCCGGTTTACGATCAGCTCCCAATGCGACCAATTATGTAAGTGTATTTATGTAAGTGTGTTTGTATGTGTATGTTTGGGGGTCTGAAATGGACTAATCTAATTCACAATATTCCTTATGGGAACAAATTCGGTCAGTACTGGCACCTGAACATACTTCTGGAATGAAATAATATCGTAAACCGGGGGTCCACTGAATTGGGATTGGGTTGCATGTGTTTGTCTTATTCTTAAATGTGCAAGGATTATGAGGCTATAGAATTTGGAATATAAAAAATAAACAAAAGCATGTATGACAGGAGTGAATGAAAACATGTAGTGTTTAGTGAATGTGCTGTTGGAGTGTGAGCAGGGTAACACATATGAAGAGATTCAGGAAAACCAGTCAGCTGCACTTGAGTCCTAGAGGTGGGACTGGATGAGGGATGAGGATGTTGCAGTTGGAAGGCAATCTGATTGATGACAGCACACTTTTGGAAAGAGACTGAATTAAAGATAGTGAATGTGTTTTCTTCTTTGGGTCACTCTGCTCTGACAGGAGAGTGCTGCTGAGTTAAAAAATAAATAAACACAATAAAATTCCAACCTCCCTTAGTATCACCAAATCAAAATAAAATTATCTATTCAAGGTTATTGTATAACAAGCTATAAAGCAGAAAAAAATGTCAGAAAAAATGGCTTAATTACATATCCTTGTAACCTTGGAGAAGTTGAACTTAATGAGTGAGAGCAAGCCAAGCATCTTTGTTTTACCAATTCTCATAAGTTATCACAATACAGAGTACAATATAATATCATAACTTCTAAGTCATGAGAAGGAAGCTAGAGACAGTGACAATGTCATGTTTAAGAACAATGTGTGTATTGTGAATATTATGAAGAATTTGGAGGGAGGGAAGGAGAGAGTATGATGGAAATGAATGTGTTCAGATACATGGGAGTGGTTTATGAAAGATGAGGTGAATCACAGAAATGATGAGGGAAAAAAAAGATGGGTGATATATTGAGCCATCTGTGGAGACAAAAACATTATCCATGGAGGCAAAAAGGATAATGTATGGGAGTATTGTGGTACCAATACTTTTATGATTGTTAGGCATGGGTTGTGAATGTTGCAACAAAGATGCTTGGCTTGCTCTCACTCAGTGAGTTCAAGTTCTCCATGGGTTACAAGGATATGTAATTAAGCCATTTTTTCTGCTTTATAGCTTGTTATACAAAAGCCTTGAATAGAAGAAAACACATTCACTACCTTTAATTCACTCACTGTCTTTCCTAAAGTGTGCTGTCATCAGTCAGATTGCCTTCCAATTGCAACATCCTCATCCCTCATTCAGTCTGAGTACAGGCACTGCCCTTCCCACCTCAAGTACTCAAGTGCAGCTGATTGGTTTTCCTGAATCTCTTCATATGTGTTACCATGCTCACACTCCAACAGCACATTCATTAAAAACGACTTGTTTACAATCACTCCTGTCTAACATGCTCCTGTTTATGGAGGCAGTCGAGATGCTGTGTCTGACAGCAATGTGTGATGTAAATATTATGCAGGGAATTTGTAATCTGGAGAAAAGAAGGAAGTGCAGGGTTACTAAGAGCATTAACCAGAAGGCTAAGGAGAGATTGTTGAGGTGGTTTGGACATTTAGAGAGGATGGACAATAATAGGATGACTTGGAGGGGGTATAAATTTGTAGTGGAAGGAAAGGGGGTAGGGGTTGCCCTAGGAAAGGTTAGAAGGAGGGGGTAAAGAAGGTTTTGTGTGCAAGGGGCTTAGACATACTACACAGGAGTGAGTGGAGGCAAGTGGTTTTTATGACTTGATGTGCTGGAGTGGGAGCAAGGTAACATTTAACCCTTTGACTGTTTTGGTCATATATATACGTCTTACGAGCCACCGTTCTTGACGTATATATACTCATAAATTCTAGCGGCTTCAAATCAAGCAGGAGAAAGTTGGTAGGCCCACATGTGAGAGAATGGCTCTGTGTGGTCAGCGTGCACCATATAAAAAAAAACCTGGAGCACGCAGTGCAAAATGAGAAAAAAAATCCGACCGTTTTTTTTAATTAAAATGCCAACTTTGTGGTCAATTTTCGTATAGTATTTATGATTATATTCTCGTTTTCTTGGTCTCATTTGATAGAATGGAAAACATATTATAGAAATAGAGGTGATTTTGATTGGTTTTACTATGAAAAGAACCTGGAAATGGAGCTCAAAGTAGGGGAAATGTTTGATTTTTGACGATGTTCAAAAGTAAACAAATGATGTCATTTTCCAATAAATGTCCAACTAGCCATTCTAATGTGCAGTCATGAATGGGTTGACATTATTTATACAATTATTACAATATTGCAGTAGTCTGCATAACAGTAAATCTTCTATTTTTTGTTTGAATAAAAATTCAAAATAGAAAGCAAGAGTAATATCAGAGGGGCCTGGAGACGTGACTGATGAACAAAGAAAATTTTATTTTAGAGCCAGGAATGTCTACACTGTTCATTCTGGACCCTATTTTGAAATTGTCATATTTTTTTAATTTTCGTGAAATTAGCTAAATTGCAAATTTCTGACCACATTATTAGGTAGTTGAAATCAGTAAATGGGCAGTTTCTTGTATTCAGTCTATAGAAAAAATGGAGTTCTAAAGAAATAGCTATGAGTTTGGTCGACTGGAACAATGGAATTAGCCGAAAATAGGGCTCAAAGTGGGCGAAATCGCCAATTCGTTAATATTGCCGAGGTCGCTAACTTCGCGAGAGCGTAATTCCGTCAGTTTTCCATCATATTTCATTCGTTTGGTGTCATTACAATCGGAAAAAGATTCTCTATCATTTCCTGAGAATATTTTTTTTTTTTTGGGGGGGGGGGATTCTGCGACACCAGGAGACACCTCAGGATTTGGGGTTACGACAGTCAAGGGGTTAAGAAGGGATTTAGGGAAACCAGTTATGGGCTTGAGTTCTGGAGGTGGAAAGTACAGTGCCTCTACTCTGAAGGAGGGGTGGGGATATTTGCAGTATCGAACTGTATCAGCATGCTTCTAGCAAGACAATGATGGAGTGAGTGATGTTTAAAGTGTTTCTTCTTGTTTGGGTCACCCTACCTCGGTGGGAGACAGCCAGCATATTGAAAAAAGATAATCAGCTACACAGACCAACAGGATCTAACAAGACCATCTGATTTAATACCTGTATGCATCAACTTCCTCCTTTGTCATGTTAGCAATCTCGGGCACTTCCACATAAAAGTCCTTTCTGAATGGTACATAATCTATGGTAGTATGGTCAACCTTCACCAACTCCTGAAATGAAAAAGTGAGCCAGTATAATGTAACTACATACCAGCATAAAGAACTGTGATTCAAGAATAACCAACAATGGCTGGATAATTTTGTGAATATATCATTTATTTTTGTAGCCAAATAATAATGAACTAACAATCAAGCATTTACTGTGTGAATGACTCGCAGTGGATGTAAGTCCCATCTCTAGTCAGACTGGACATGTGAATCTTCTCCCAGATTGCCTTCCACCCTAATTATACTCTTCTACAATATCAAACTATCAAATAAACTAAAACAGTAATTTCTAGAGGAACATCCAAGTACAGTAAACCCTTGATTTAAAGGAGGCATAATGAGGGGCAGGTGGCTGGTAATGGTGATTGTGGTAGACAGAAATGATATTCCTTTATGGTGATCATAACAGTTACTGACAGTTCAGTAACTAATGGATTTGATCCATCGTTTCTGAATTAAATCACCCGGTGGATTGTGCCCTGTATTTAGAAAGGCTGTTAAAATGAGGGCCTTAAATTGAGGGTAATTTATTAGAATTCTAGGTAGTAGGTTAGTAGACAGCAACCGCCCAGGGAGCTACTACCGTCCTGCCAAGTGAGTGTGTAACGGGATTGCTGGTGTCTTTTTTCTGTCTCATAAACATGCAAGGTTTCAGGTACGTCTTGCTACTTCTACTTAAACTTAGGAGACACTACACATGCACAGACAAGCATATACATGTATATACACATGCCCCTCTGGGTTTTCTTCTATTTTCTTACTAGATCTTCTTGTTTATTCCTCCATGGGGAAGCAGAAGAGAATTCTTCCTCCGTGAGCCATGAGTGTTGTAAGTGGCAACTAAAATGCCAGGAGCAAGGGGCTAGTAACCCCTTCTCTTGTATATATTACTAAATTTATAAAGAGAAACTTTCGTTTTTCTTTTTGGGCCACCCTGCCTCAGTGGGATATGGCTAGCTTCTTGAAAGAATAATAATAATAATTAATTAGAAAGTTTGATCAAAGTCCCACTAGTAAAACCACAAAGCTACAATAAAGACCAACAAATGCTCCATATACCATTTTTTTTTTTTGGCAGGAGTTTAAATAATACTGCTGTACTGTTCTACATATTCTGGTGTTTTTATTTAATGGTTGTTACTCCATATATACTAGGGGCCCAACAATTATTTGTGGATTTATTCAACAAATGTTTCATTAATCTGCTTTAGACTCATGACTCACCTAAGATGTGGAAGATGAAAAGTGGGCGATATGTGAGGAAAATGATTCCAAGTATGGTCATCTTTCAAAAATCATTACAATTTACTAAAACAGAGTTAATGACCAACATCACCTTTTTTCCTTTAGAATTTATGCTTGCCATGGTGTCTTTTAGATCTTCTCCCTCTTCTTCAGATGAATATTCTAATGCATCTTGATTTTGCTCCATCAGCTCTCCTTTCTTTTTGGCATTAACTTTCTTAGCCATACCCATAATAATAACTGGCTTCTTCATTCCACCAGTTTCATTTCCAAATACTGTAAATAAGAGGAAAATTTAAACTGTATAAATTTATATCACTGTATTACTGACTGTACCAATGATATAACTTTGACAGGTTTAAAGTTTTTTCTCTTACAACCCGGACCTGGGCCAAGCTTGTCTTTGTGAATATATACTACATGAATTAGCAGGCAACAACAAACACAAGATGTACTTACAGCTTTCTTTCTTAACCCTTTCACTGTCCTTCTTGTAGATCAACATTATTGATGCCAGGGGTCCCTTACATAGATCTATGCCTTGAGCTCAGCTCACTCAGATAAACTGAGAATGGCAATTTTTTTTTTTTGTATCATTTCATAATGAGAATGTAAGATATACTACCAAAACAGAGATGATCTTGGTTGCATCCAGGACCATAAGTAACTTGAAAGTGATATCAAAGAAGTGGAAATTTTTGCCAAATTTTCAGAAGGTAAGGCCCTTCTATACCCCACTGGTCTGTTTCATGGGTTTTTACTTGGTTTGATTCCATTAGTGGGACTACTAAACCATGACCATTCATTCCTGGTTATATTTTATTATCTGAGAAATAGGGTAAGTCTTTGATTTCTTGTGCAATGATGAATTCAAAATGGAAGACAAGTGGACAGGCCTGGGGAAATGATTAATGAACAGAGGAAATGTTGTTTTAGTGTCTGGAATGTTTAGTGTTCATTTTGGACTCTATTTTTAAATAGTTTTTTGTGTGTAAAATTAGCCAAATTAGACTTCAGTGATCTTAATAGGATAGTTTTGGTAGTTGAGTGGTGCTTTCTTGTGCGAAATTGATAGAAAGGAAGGCATACAAGCAAGATATTGTTGAATTTATCAGTGGAATTTGGCATAAAATAGGACTCAAAGTGGGGAAAATCACCAATGCGTAAATTGCACCCAGGCTGCTAATTTCGTGCCTGCATAATTCCCTAAGTTTTCCATTAAATTTTGTACTTTTGGCAATATTACCTTCAGAAAAAAATTCTCTACCATTTCAAAAGAATTTTTTTTAAATGTGGACAGTGAGTACTTTTAACTTTAAGGGTTTGGACAGTAAATGGGTTAAAATAAAATTCTATCATTTATACTCTTAAAAATTACCCATAATTATGCAACTAAACTAAAGAAATGAGATATGGTGCAGAACAAACTTACTGGGACATCATTCGTTCTGTGTACTTTATTACAACTTAATAAAGCAACTTTTTCTACCTCAACCCAATATAGCTACCTGCAGTACAACTGTGGTGTATATAGAAGCTTTTTTGTAATAATCATTAAACTCATCCACACATACATCCTAGAATCATACACACAATCATCCACACTAGCAACAGAAAAGCAATGATTTGTGCTAGTGCCATACATACAATCATCTGTACTAATGTAATACACAATCTACAATAACACTGCATACACACATACTAACACCATGCACACAATCCCTACTAAAGCAACACACACAATCACCCATGTTAGCAACACACATTCTTCAGTTATTTCACAGAAAGCAACAATTCCAAGTTTACTAACTAAATTAGGTAACTGGCCAATTTGTATCTAAGAAGTCTAAACCTACTAAGTATGTACTAAACTGTCCATGTGAAGCAACAACCATTAAAAATTGAATCTGTTCAAAAGAGGCATACTAAAGTTATTTTGGTCCATTTTAACAAATAAAACTTTCAAATTGGCACCCCCATACTCAATTTCAGCTTTCTTCTAGGAAGGATACATCAGTGCTGCAAGTTTGAAGCTGATCAGAAAGGAGCTTTCTCAAGCTATCACAAGAAAACCAAATTTGAAAATGATCTATATAAAAGTGACCAGAGGTTACCTCTGCATATACTAATAGTTTCATGAATCTTTTCATAGTTACAGTATGTCAGAATTGAAAATTTGATCAGATGAGGCATTCTCATGTTATAAATACAGTAAATCATCCATTTAATGGACTTCAGAAATATGAAACACAATGGGCTGTTTCAATATATTTGGAAACAATGGACAAAGTCCTTTGGTCACAGAATAATTCAAAATTGTTACAATCACTGCAAAATATACTTCTTTCTATTCACCACAACTGCCATTACTGACCACCTGCTCCTCCCAATCAGTCCATTAAATAAAGGGTTTACTGTAACAAGCTTGGAGAAAGAACTATGTAAAGACACCCCCTTCAGGGATACCTAAATATGCTATATAAAACATGTAGGTGTACCGTTTGTTTTGACTCCACGTCTTACACCACCCCTAATATCTACACGATTAATTTTTCGCACTTCTTCCTGAATGCCAGACATAAATGCATCAAGAGGATCAACTTCATCTTCCTGAAACAGAAAGACAATCCGTATTACCATTAAATTTTCAAGGAAACAATAATCATCAGACTTTGCAGCAAATATTCTTAAAGAGAATCATTCTTTGAGAGTGGTAAAGAAAGTATCTGAGGGGAAGGGAAGGAAGTCCAAGATCTTGGACAGATTGTATATAGTTTTAAAGAGCAGGTATAGAGGGAGGAAATCTGGCAAGTGGCAAGTTGAAAGGCAGGGCCAAGAGCTGCCCACATACAGGTGAGAACATACCAGTTGAAACATACTACAGCCCCTCCTCACTTAGTGAAGTACTCATTTACCGATGACCCGGACTTACGATGGCCTCTCTGACTAGTAAGCATACCTAAATAATGTATATTAGAGCTGATTTTCTCTATTCTGTTTATTACAGTATACAGTGCACTACTGTATAAACATTGAAAAATATACAACAAATGTTATAGATGGTGCAAAGGTGACATTAAAACAATATCAAAGATGGTTGACACAAACCCACTACCATTATAGTATGCTCCTCACTTAGCAATGAAATCGTTTACTGACATGGTCTTAAGAATGGAACTCCATCGCTAAGTGAGGAGAGGCTGTATTACTATATTTTCTGCCATGTAAAGTGCATCTTTACACCTGCCCCAACCCAATTTTGTTTTTTGTAGATAAAACTAAGTTCAAATAATCATACCCTATAGGAGATGACTGATGTGTTAAAAAAATTACATGGGCCATGCAAGACACAGGTTTAAGACACAAGGTTATGGGGAAAAAAAAATTCATGTTACATGATAAGAAATATGATAATTTGAGTATTTTTTTTATGTTTTATTCAAGTGCTAAACCCATGTGGGCCATATAGTGCACAACGTGGTGGAGGCTTGATCCTCCATCTGCTGAGTCCGAGACAAATGCACTTCCTATATACTCACCTAGATGTCTGATAATTTGAGTAATGGCATGCTGAAATTGGATAATATCATGGAATATCTATAATGTCAAGTCAAGGTTAATTCACATCAAAGTTTATTCAACCCTGACCTACATGATTAACAGCACCTCCTGATATGTAAGCACTACAATACATATGGTGACTCACAGTTGGTAGTTCTTTCCAAATTTCAAGATACAGAGCTCTTATATCAAAATTAAAATGTTTAACATTATACAGATTGCTATTAATAAGAGCTAAGCTAGAGATCATAAATTTTGTAAGAACTTAGTAAGCTGGTGCTTCATACCTCTTCTAGTTTTCCATCACCTTCTTTATTCTCAACCTCCTCCTCTTCCTCATCATCTTCTAGACTCCAGGCTTTTATTGATACTTTGGGCACATTAGCTCCTAAAGTACCCTTTTCTGCTTCTTTCTTTGTTGCTTCCAATTCCCGTTTCTTCTTCTCTGCTCTCCACTTTTCAATGCGTTCCCTCCTCTTCTGCATTTCAGCTTCAAGACGCTTTTCAGCCTCCTCCTGCAAAATTATGGCAATTGTATTAATGCACATTTAACACTGCGATTGGTACAGTGTGAGATGCTTCATGACTTGTATTTAATTAAAATATTGTGCTCTATACAATCACTCTACAATGAATTGATACATAATGTGCCATTTCACCCTTTAACACATACAGGTCCGACATCGCAAATCCGGCAATCAGTTATTCGGTTCCTTCAGTTATTCGGCACTAATTTTGGATAGCATAATTTCAAATTTCCAGGGTTGCCACACCAACCTGCTGGTACTGTTTTGTGGTGCTATTTGCTGCATAAGTCATTCCAATTTCTTTTTCTCCATTTATTGTTTTAACCTGCTTACTTTTAGCCATAGCCATGGTTCCAATGAATAAAAGAAATGCTTCTCATTATGTAAAGTACCTACACAGTATATTATCCATTAAAGATAAGGTGGCTTTGAAGCCACTGTCAGTTGCCATGAGCTCAGTCTCATGAAGCAGGAGAATATGCTTTATTATTACGCCAATATCAACACTACAGCTTATTTGCCTATCACAATTGATCTAATATGACATAAGAAACAATATAAATAACATAAAACATGTTAAATACTCCAGAATGAATAATATTTGGCATAACACCGAGCAGTTCGACAGAGTTATGAAGAGGATATGGTAAACAAATACCATGGAAATAAGTCACTCTGTCTGACTTTTTTGGGTTATCCTAGGTTCTCTACACATATGCTGTATGTATGATAATTCTATGTAACTGTATGTGTATACCTGAATAAACTTACTTACTTCTCCTATCCTTGTCTTGGGGGCTTATATTAAAGAAAACGGAGTATAGCACAGGGCTAACTATGATATACACTCGTACTCCACCATAAACATGAAACAAAAAAGTTATTTTCTCTCTATAGATTATCACACATAGCAGCATATGTGTAGAGAACCTAGGATAACCCCAAAAAAGTCAACGTGGCTTATTTTTAGTACCTGGCTTGGGTTAGCCATATAAGATTTTTGGTAAATACTATTCGATTCCCAGCCAGGGTAGAAACATTAGGCGTGTTTCTTTACACCTGTTGTCTATGTTTACCCATCAGTAAATGGGTACCTGGGTGTTAATCGACTAGCGTGGGTGTTATCCTGGGACACTGACCTAATTTTCTTGAAATACTGAGCATAACAAGTGCCTTTCTATACAGTAGTATGTCACTGAAGTCAGCTAGGCCTGTATACCTTGTACATGTACGTGTAGTAAATAAAGATATTATTAATATTATTATTACATTATTATTATTTTCTCAGTTGTTTGTTGGGTTATCTTATTCAAACTTGGGCAATGTATGATGGAAAGATACTTCTTCACGTACAAGATATAGCTAATGTTTTAACTCTGGAACTGGAGTCCTGCAGCAAATGGTTAGTAGACAACAAACTATCATTACACCTCAGGAAAACTGAAGCCATTCTCTTTGGCACGAAACAAACTGAGAAGGGTAAATAATTTTAATGTCCAGTGTAATATCTGGGAATCCCCTTTGACCCATGCATGTCAGGAGAATTGATAGGGAACAGCGTAGTAAAGAAAGCGAAAGCCAGACTGAAGTTCCTGTATAGACAAGCACAGTGTCTACCTACTGAGGCTCGCAGGGCCCTATGTCTAGCCCTTATACAATGCCATATGGATTACGCTTGCTCTTCATGGTACTCTGCCTTGACAAAAAAACTGCAAGATAGACTGCAAATCACCCAGAACAAAATCGTAAGATTCATCCTGGTGCTGGGACCAAGAGAACATGTAGGCCAGGATGAATTACAGCAGTTGTATATGCTGAATGTTGAAGACAGAGTAAAACAACTGAAGCTAAATCATGTTCATAAAATTGCTCACAAACAGTGTCCAGAATATCTTGCTGTCAATTCTGTCAAGGTTGGGAACCAAAGCAATCATAGTACTAGGGGGAGAGAGCACAACTTTGTAGTACCCACAGTCATTGGCCAGGCTTCAAACACCTTTTATTGTACAGCAATAAAGGAATGGAACAGACTACCCACACACGTCAAAGCCAGTCACAGCATGAACCAGTTCAAGAAGAGTGCCAAAAGGTGTCTGATGAATGTACCTACAGAAAGGGAGGGGAATGATTTTCTATTTTTTAGCTAACATACGTGTAAATTTTACCTTATTCCTAGTAATGACCCTTGTGTTGTAGATAGTATTAATGACCCTTGTGTAGTAGATAGTCTTTTTAGTATGATAACAAGATGTTATCTTCATTATAGAATAATAAGAAAATATTATAACCTTCATATTACATTAATAAGATAAAAGGACCCAATGGAAATAAGTCACTCTGTCTGACTTTTTTGGGTTATCCAAGGTTCTCTACACATATGCTGCTATGTATGATAATTCTATGTAACTGTATTTGTGTATAGTACCTGAATAAACTTACTTACTTACTTAGACCATAAATAGCGGAGTTCACTTCTCAGCCATTAGCGGCCGCTTAGCGGTATATTTTTGTATGGTTGTTATGGTTATATTCTCATTTTTTCGGTCTCATTTGATAGAATGAAAGATATATTACAGAAATAGATATGATTTTGATTGCTTTCATGATGAAAAGTACCTTGAAATTGCGCTCACAGTAGCGAAAATGTTCTATTCTTAGTGAAGTTCAAGAGTAAACAAATGATGTCACCGTCCAATACCTGTCTGCCTGCCAGTCTAAATTCCAGTACGGAGTCAAGAATGGATTGACATTATTCATACAATTATTACAATAATGCAGTAATCTGCATAACATAAATCTTCTATTTTTTTTGTGAATAAAAATTCCAAATGGTAAGCAAGAGTAATATAAGAGGGGCCTGTAGCCATGACTAATAAACAGAGAAAATGTTATTTTAGTGCCAGAATGTCCTGCATTGTTGATTCTGGTCCCCTATTTTGAAATTGACCTCTGTTGAAATTTTGTGTGAAATCGGCCAAATTGCCAATTTTCCTTCTAACCACTTTAATGGGTAGTTGAAATAAGGAATGGGCAAGTTTCCTTGTACTCAGTTTGACAGACTAAAGTAAATAAGTTAATTCAGATATACACAAATGCAGTTACATAGATTATCATACATAGCAGTGTAAATGTATATGAGAACCTAGGATAACCCAGGGGAAAAGTCATACAAAGTGGCTATTTCCAGTACCTGGCTTGGGCTTGCACATATGGATTTTTGGTAAATATTTTTTTTTCTCGGGTGTTTTGTTGGCTATCTCACTGAGAACTTGGGCAATGTATGATGAAAGATTGCTTCTTAACGTACAACAAAAATAAAAAAGACGGACGATAAATAAGGATTCACTTCTCAGCCATTACCTGCCTCTTTGCAGTATTATTTTCGAGTTTTTATGGTTGTATTCTCATTTTTTGGACGCATTTGATAGAATGGAAGATATACAGTTGGTTCCCTCGTTTTTCGTATATAATCCTTCCTGGAGTTGCCTACTATTATCGAAATCTACGATTTGCGTATATAGGGGCCCCATAAGAAAAAAGTCAATACAATTAAACATTCCTGACACCAAGAAGTATTAAAACAAAAATTTTTTCTTTTTTACATGAATATAGATGTAGTACATAACAATACAATGTAAATGATGAATGAAACATTAACAGCATAACACTTACCTTATTGGAGCTTCTTCTTAGTGTAGGGAGACTGGAGAAGAGAGAGTGGATTGTTTACCATTTGGAAGGGGAATCCCTTCCAGCAACACTCAGGTACCAATTGCTTTCTGGGGTTGCTTCTCTTCTCTGTTCTTAATGCCACTAGACCAACTTGAATCACTGAGTCCTGTCTCGCAAAATAACTGGTGGAGGAGAGCTCTGTTTCTGCGTCTCTTTTAACACTTCCCCTAAAAATGCCCAAACTTGTCACTGTACATGTTTGCCAACATGGCTTGCAACACCTTGTCAGGGTGATTTCTCCATAAAGCTTTTCCCACATTACCCCACATAGCAAAATCTCTTAATTTCTGAAGAAGGCAACCTTCTTCCAACTCTCTCTTCTCTTCCTCCTCTCTGCAGCAAGATTCTGAGATGCGATCTGAGGCTGTTCCTGCTGAACTCTTGCAGCTCCTCAGTGGTGAGGCTCTTCGTGTCGGTCTTCCACCAACTCTTCCACATCCTCCAAACTCACATATCCAACCCATAGAACTCCCCAGTGCCCAATTGATTTAACAACAGACATGGCTCATCAGGGTCGTCCCAAACCCTTCAAAATTCCTCTTGTGACACACTCTGGCCACCAATTTTCTCCAGCAAGTTCAAATCCTGGTAGTCACTCTCCCAAGCCATACCTATAAGGTTTATACAATGGAGGAGCTGAAGTGTTCTCCTCTCCAAAATTCCCTTAGGGTCCAATGAGTGTCTTGGTCACAGACAAGCACCTGAAACATTGCTTTGTGTAGATTTTTTAAAGTTTTGCAAGACCTGCTGGTCATGGGCTGGAGTAAGGAGGGTTTCCGGGGGCAAGAACTTTACTATTGATGAACCCAAACTCCTCGAAAATTAGGTCATCCAAGTTTGGAGGATGAGCAGAGTGCATTGTCCATACTAGCAAGCACTTGAGACCAAATACTTTTCCAGGAGGTAATTCTTCACACTAGTATGGCCAAACACTTCATTGAACCACTCGAACGAAAATTTCCCTCGAACCCATGCCTTACTATTAGATTTTCCAAAACACACACAATTTACTCTTCATAACATTGTTTTCATGAACACGCTGGGATTTTCAGAATGGTACACTAGTAATGGCTTTCACTTGAAAGCCCCACTAATTAGCCCAGAACTTAGCAACACCTGTCTTTCATAGCTGTGCCTGGGCATTGCCTTTCCCTCTGTGTAATGAAGGGACCTCTTTGGCATTTTCTTCCAAAAAGAGGCCTGTTTCATCACAATTGAACACTTGTTTCTAGGTTTCAGTCCTTCAGCCTCTATGTACTCCTTGAATTCAGGCACATAATTTTCAGCCAACCTAGTGGCCAACTGGGAAAACCTCACCAAGCTTACCACAACTGTGTATGCCAGAACTGTTGCTTAACTCTCTCAAACTCAACTTAGCTGGCCTTAATTTACTCACAATCAACCACATTTGCAGGCAATTTCTTTACTAGATCGTTGTGCAACTGCCTAGACCTTTCACAAATAATTAGAAGACATAAAGAGTATCACCTGCTAATTGTTTCTCATTATTATCCACACCAGTAAATCACTTCTCAACCTCATCGAGTACTGGTGATCTCATTTTGTCAGCATCGTTACCCCCTTTGCAACACAGCATCCTTGAGGGCCAGGTGGCGGGCCACATATGAACATATGTTGTGTAGGGTTTCTCATACATATCCAGGACAGTTCGGCCGCACATGTGCCACTTTCATAAGTTCAATGATGTGTTTTTTTCTTAAATCAAATCTTATGTTACCGAGGTTATTCCGGGATCAGCGCCCCGCCCCGCAGCCCGGTCCATGACCAGGCCTCCCGCCCGATGGATCAGGGCCTGATCAACTAGGCTGTTACTGCTGGCCGCACGCAGTCCCGACGTACAAGCCACAGCCCCGCTGAAACCGGCACTGACTTTAGGAATCTGTCCAACTCTCTCTGAAGGCAGCCAGGGGTTATTGGCAATTCCCCTAATGCTTGATGGGAGGCTGTTGAACAGTTTGGCCCTGGACACCTATGGTGTTTCTCTAGTGTAACCAATGGCGCCCCTACTTTTTATTGGCGGCATATGCATCGCCTGCCCAGTCTTTTACTGTCGTAGGGAGGATTTCCTGTGTGCAGATTTGGGACCATTCCTTCAACTTTTCGCAAGTGGAGATTTATGAATATCTCTCCCACCTGCGTCTCAACGAGTACAATCAAGTGCTTCCAAGCGTTCCCATTAGTATTAAGGTGCTTTACAGAACTAATACGTGCAGTAAAGGATCTCTGTACACCTCTAATCTGCGATTTCACCCGCTTTGTATGGAGATGTTTAATGAACAGCAGTATTCCTGCCTAAGAGAACAATGATTTGAAAGGATCCATCAAGGCTTGGCATCTCTCGTATGAAAGTTCACATTATCCATCCTATCATTTCTTTGCACGTGCGATCGTGGCACTGTTGTATCCCTTGAAAGGAGATCCTCAGACATTACTACTCCCCAGGTCCCCTTACATTCATTTTTTCCGCTCTATTGTATGGCCGGAGTCAGTAGTAACACTGCTCTAGTTATTATCTCCTCCAGTTTTCCATAACGGAGTAGTTTGGAATTGTCTCATTGAACATCATATTGTTTACCGTTGCCCACTGGAAAACTTTTGTTTTATAATCTTCTTGAGTTAACCGACGACCTCAGCAGATGACAGCCTCATGCAGATCCTAGTATCATCCGCAAGGATGATACGGTGCTGTGTGAATATCTCAGTTTTATGTCTGATAGAGGATAAGGAATAAGATGGGGCGAGTACTTTGTTGCCTGTGGAACAAGCTCTCCCTTAATGGGCAGCCGCCGATTTAACACTGTTTACCACTACTCTTTGTGTTTCGATTTGTTAGGTAGTTGAAGATCCATCTCCCTCCCACTTTCCCAGTTATTCCTTTATCATGTATTTTATGGCTATACGCCATGATCGCATTTGTCAAATGGCATTGCCAAATTCTGTGTATATTACATCTGCATTCTGATTTTCTTCCAGTGCATCCAAGGCCATGTCATAGTGATCCAGTAGTTGTGAGAGGCAGGAGGACCTGCCAACCCATTTAGCCCTGGATTGTGCAGATTTTGGGAATCCAGGTGATTTTGCAATCCTGCTTCTATCACTCTTCAAAGAATTTTATGATGTGGGACGTCAGAATCCTATTGGTCTATAGTTCTTAGCTAATGCTTTGCTGCCACCTTCTTTACCACAGGCTTGGCACAAGGAGCTTTCTTTGGAGCCATGGTAGCTTATTTAGTACTTCAAGGACAAAAGAGTGGAATACAAGTACATTATGAATATTTCGTAGAGTACGTGAGGGGGACCTTCGCTCACTGGTAAACAATGCCAGACTGGCTGGGTAGGGAGGCCGCCCCGGCTCACTCACACCGTGCGTAACGCGTCCCGGACGAACTACTCTTTCATTAGTCAACCTATTATTATGAGCCCAATGTTTATAAATACTAACATATCCCTATGATTCGAAATCTATGATTCCCGAGAGCTACGAAAAGCAAGGGACACACTGTAAACAGAAACATCATCATTTTGATTGCTTTCCATGACGAAAAGTACTTGAAATTGAGCTCAAAGTAGTGGAAATGTTCGATTTTTGCCGATGTTCAATGAACTGTGTAAGTCAAGTTGGTTAATTTTATTAAGTGTATTCTAACCTAACCACTCTGTAATTCGGCAAACTCAGTAATCCGGCACACTACAGGTCCCAATGATGCAGGATTTGTGATGGAGGACCTGTACAAGCATAAGAAAAAAGACACTGTCTCTAAAATCTAGAACATACCACACAATGATAAATAGAACAGTAAGTCAACACTAGGCTTTTTCACAATTAAAATTGCTAATAATTATTTCTAGGTTACCAACAAGATTTAGTAACTTGGAATAATGAAATATGAACATATATCCCTAATCAGAAAGTTCATGAATTAATTTAAGATATGAGAGAGCATTTAATAAATTAATTAGGGAATCAAATGTAAATTTGAAATTTAGGTAAAACAAGAACTGCATGACTTAATGAACAAAAGTATGTTTTGCTTAATGACATTTTTTATACAGTACCACAAATAGAAAAAACTTGTGGTTGGAGATGACAAACTCATTTTCTAGTCAACAAAGTGTATCTTGTGGTTCATACAAGTGTACTGTTTTGCCCCTCAGTTCCCAATGGGCATATACTGATAGTTCATGCTGAAGTACAGAATTTCCCTATACATAAGGTATACCTGGAGAGGGTTTCGAGGAACAATGCCCCCCGCAGCCCAGTCTGTGACCAGGCCTCATGGTGGATCAGGGTCTGATCAACCAGGCTGTTACTGTTGGCCGCATGCAACCTTACGCACGAACCACAGCCTAGCTAGTCAGGTACTGACTTTAGGTGCTTGTCCAGTGCTTTCTTGAAGACAGCCAGGGGTCTACTGGTAATCCCCCTTATGAATGCTGGGAGGCAGCGAACAGTCTTGGGCCCCTGACACTTATTGTGTTGCCTCTTATCATGCTAGTGGCACCCCTGCTTTTCAATGGGGGGATGCTGCATCCTCTGCTGAGTCTTTTGCTTTTATAGGGAGTGATTTTTATGTGAAAGTTTGGTATTAATCCCTCTAGGATTTTCCAAGTGTATATAATCATGTCTCTCCTGCCTGCAAAGATGTACTGAGGAAAAGGGTACGAGGTCGAGTAAGTTTAATGATCCACTGAGAATATTTACCAAAACATTTTAGACTGATTTTTGACCAAGCTGTGTCACTGCATACGTTCATGTTGTTGACTTTCTTTAACCCTTAAATGGTTCAAACGTATATATACGTTTTTTCAACATCTGAAAGTATGTAAAAAAATGTAGATCTTCTTTTTTGTTTTACATTTGAAAACGTGTAAAAAAAACTTTTATCTACATTTTTTTTTGTTATATTTGAAAATATATAAAAAAAAGTAGATCCACTTTTGTAGCACTACGAATTTGAACGTTGATCTCTTTGGACCGTTTAAGGGTTAAATATCACTCTAATGGTATTAATAAAGATGATATAAATGTGTATCACAGAGAAAGGTTTGGTAAATCCAGTGAACATGCTTAGAAAAAAGTTGTGTTTGAAATATATATAAAATTTTTAAAACATTAAGTATATGAATAATGCCTTTTAAAATTGTATTTGACAGTGTAACAGTACAAAATCTGACCTTATCTACTTTAGAAGGGTCAAAGTCAAGCCCTGTCTCCTCCTCATCCTTAGGTTCTGCAGGTGTTGGCTCTTGAGGCTTTGGAGGATGTAAAACTGGCTTGACCTTGGCTGGAGAGTGTGACTTGCTTCTCTTGCTCCTCTTCCTATCTCTGTCTCTTGACCTGCTCCTACTCCTCTTCCTGTCTCTGTCACGAGATCTTGACCTCCTATCCCTTTCTCTTTCACGTGACCTAGATCTGTCTCTCGATCTTGAACGTCTGTCACGAGATCTTGACCGTCTCCGATCTCTACTGCGCGACCTGTGGCGGTCTCTGGATCGTGGATCGCCGTGATCTACCTCGATCCCTGTCTCTGTCCCTATCCCTGTCTCGGGATCTGTTGACACAAGTATTAGTTCTGGCAAATAACAAAATATCATGAGACAAATATCTGCTATAAATATTTAAAGTAATGTTACAAGTGTTGAACATTATACCAAAGGTGAATAGTGAATGCCATATATACACAAAAATTTAAACAAGTCTAGTTACCCACTACCATCATAATGCAGTGGGAAATGTAACTAAACTGCACGACTATACAGCATTAATGAAAATTATTAAAGGAATGTGAATATGTACAGCACTGCATCCCACATTACAGCAAATATAATCACATACAGGAAAATTAACTACCATATAAGTACTGATGATACTGTGCTTTTGGGAGATTCTAAAGGAAAGTTGCAAAGGTTAGTGGATGAGTTTGGGAGGGTGTATAAAGGGAAAGTTGAAAGTGAACACAGATATGAGTAAGGTGATGAGGGTATCAAATAATTTAGATAAAGAAAAATTGGATATCACCTTGGAGGGAGGGAGTATGGAAGAGGTGAATGTTTTCAGATATTTGGGAGTTGACTTGTCAGCAGATGGGTTTATGAAAGGATGAGGTTAACCATAGAAATGATGAAGGAAACAAGGTGAGTGGTGCTTTGAGGTATCCATGGAGACAAAAAAAATGTTAGCCATGGAAGCAAAGGGAATGTACAAGAGTATAGTGGTACCAACACTCTTATGTGGGTGCAACAAGGAGGAGGCTGGAGGCAGTGGAGATATCATGTCTAAGGGCAATGTGTGGTGTAAATATTATGCAGAGAATTAGTAGTGTGGAAATTAGGAGGTGTGGAGTTACTAAAAGTATTTGTCATAGGGCCGAAGAGGGGTTGTTGAGGTGGTTTGATCATTTATTAAGAATGAAACAAAGTAGAATGACTTGAAGACACCCTAAAGACACCACTAAAGACACCCTTCTCCTGCATTATTCTTACTGAGACCTGGCTTAAGCAGGACACAATAGATATCTACCCTCTACCAGGATACACAGCAATCCACAACTGCAGACCATACCAAGTTGGGGGTGGTATTGCAATCAATTACTCTAACCAATTATCTTGTATTAGCACCACTTGCTTTTGTGTGAATATGGAGAATACATTTTTGCTAATTTTACTGTAAAAAACCTTAAGACGCCTATTACAATCGGTGCCATTTACCGGATACCCCACACAAACATCCCAAATTTCAGAGAGAAACTAAAGGCACTAATAACAAACAGACAAATGAAAAGCACCACCTTCTCTTAGCTGGAGACTTCAACATCAACCTTGGCCTATAGATGATCAGCCTTATAACTGATTTCATCAACAATATGAACAACACACTTCTCATAAACCCAAAAATAACTAAGCCAACCAGGCTCACTGAAACAAGTGCAACCATAATAGACCACATATGGACCAATATACTAGCCCCCTTAAAACAGGGTAATCACAGATAGCACTACAGACCACTACCCTACCTTCCTCTTGACAAACATTAGTAAAACCACCACTTGATACAACAAAGTTTCATTTAGACTCCATGATGAGGCCTCAATAAGGAAGTTCACAGCTGACCTAGAGACTGTTGACTGGCCTACAGAATTCTCCAAGGCCAATGGATTGATGACTGGACAGACATTTTTCTTAACAAATTACTTAGACTATGCAACAACATTGTCCTATAAAAACGAAACAGATCACAAACAAACGGCTTGGTTGCCCATGGCTAACCAGCACCATTCTGAAATCCATTGATAAGAAACACCAATATGAAAAGCATTTTAGACAGGCTTAATACACAAAGAAAATCTTAACCCCTATTCATCATCCTCACCAAAGTAATAAAGAAAGCCAACAACTATACTTACTCCAGTAGATTCACTGACACAAGAGGAATATAAAAAGACATGGAAAACACCCCTCTCAGATTCTAGGACCCCAAACTGAAAAAACAAGAGTAATTGCCCTAACTAAACCTAATGAAACAACCCACTGCATCCCACTGACACAGCTAACAAGATAAACGACTTCTTCTCAAACCATAGGTTCTAATCTCGCCAATAAATCCCCACCAATGGGCCCTTGCCGGGGACTACCTAGACGGGAATTTCCCAATTCTTCTATCTTGCTCCCAAATGAGCCCATGGAAGTCACCGAGATTAAAAAGTCACTTAAAAATAACTCAGGGGAAACTGTCTCATGTCCCACCATTATTGTACAAGAGAGCGGCCCATGTCCTCTCGCATGCTATTTTCATTACTTTTTAACAAGTCCTAAAATTAGCACCTTCCCAAACTACTCAAGACGGCAAGGGTTTTTCACCAATACATAAAGGTGGTGACCCTACAGATTTAAACAACTATAGGCCAATATCAAACTTACCATTGCTATCCAAAATCTTTTAGAAACTTGTTTCAGAGGGGACTAATGTTGTTAGGTAAGACACATATGCAACAGTTAGAAACTTTTTTCCGAAACGTTTCGCCTACACAGTAGGCTTCTTCAGTCGAATAACAGAAAGTAGGCAGGAACAGTAGAGATGTGAAGACGATGTAATCAGTCCATCACCCTTGAAGTCGTAGAATTTGAGGTTGTCAGTCCCTCGGCCCGGAGAAGTTCAGTTCCATAGTCCAGGAACTACTGAAGATCAAGCGACAGTGCGGAGACTTAAATACTGTCGGAAGGAGAGGTGCAGAGTAGTAGTAGTAGTAGTAGTAGTGAGATTGTAACCACTGAAAAGGTCATGTCCCCCCTCAGATCCCAACACTTCTCACTTTAAAAGCTTGTCCAAGGTGTTTTCTGTACCAAGATGCCATGTGTTGCAGTGTCTGACAAGATGAACATCAAAATGGTATACAATATCGACAGGTTGTTAGGTAAGACACATATGCAACAGTTAGACAACTTTATTCCGAAACGTTTTTGCCTACACAGTAGGCTTCTTCAGTCGAATACAGAAAAGTAGGCAGGAACAGTAGAGATGTGAAGACGATGTAATCAGTCCATCACCCTTGAAGTCGTAGAATTTGAGGTTGTCAGTCCCTCGGCCTGGAGACTGTCAGTCCCTCCAGGCCGAGGGACTGACAACCTCAAATTCTACGACTTCAAGGGTGATGGACTGATTACATCGTCTTCACATCTCTACTGTTCCCGCCTACTTTTTGTATTCGACTGAAGAAGCCTACTGTTAGGCGAAACGTTTCGGGAAAAAAGTTGCCTAACTGTTGCATATGTGTCTTACCTAACAACCTGTCGATATTGATACCATTTTGATGTTCATCTTGTCAGACACTGCAACACATGGCATCTTGGTACAGAAAACACCTTGGTCAAGCTTTTCAAGTGAAAGTGTTGGATCTGAGAGGGACATGACCTTCAGTGGTTTCAACTCCCACTACTACTACTACTACTACTCTGCACTCCCCCTTCCGACAGTATTTAAGTCTCCGCACTGTCGCTTGATCTTCAGAAGTTCCTGACTATGGAACTGAACTTCTCCAGGCGAGGGACTGACAACCTCAAATTCTACACTTCAAGGGTGATGGACTGATTACATCGTCTTCACATCTCTACTGTTCCTGCCTACTTTCTGTATTCGACTGAAGAAGGGCCCACTGTGTAGGCGAAACGTTTCGGAATAAAGTGGTCTAACTTTTGCATATGTTCTTACCTAACAACCTGTCAGATTGTATACCTTTTGATGTTCAGAGAGACATATTCTTTTAAAACGGCACAAGACAAACCAACCCCTCCCAAATTTGGGATTCAGGAAAAAAAAATGCACAACGATGCAATCAAAAAAATGCAGACTGCTTTACACCTTTGGAAAAAAAGGGAATATCCACAGGAATTTTTTTTTACCTAAGAAAAGCTTTTGACACAGTAAACCAAGCATCCTACCCAAAAACTTACCATTATGGTATAAGGGGCCAGCGCTTGCAAAATTTCAAATTTTTCCCTTTACTAAAGGTATCATATGTCCCTTTAAAAGAAAACAGCATAAACAGCACAGCCCTTGATACGGATTCCCGCAGGAGTGCCCGGGCCCCCTGCTCTTTCCTCATATACATCAATATCTTCCAAACGTACCAACCCTAAACCCCTTTCCCCTTTGCTGACGACACACTTATGTCATCTCTAAACCCAACTGCCCCCCAACACCATTGTTAAGGGGACTGATCAAAATATCGACTTGGTGACGGGCAATAAATTTTTCCCTTTAAACTGACAAAACCTCTACATATGTTTGGTACAGAGCGGAGACGAAAAATTAACATTAAGACGACAAAACTCTAATTGCCAGGCTAATGAGGGCAAATTCCCAGGCCATACCTCGACAACAACCCGAACTTCAGCACCCATTCCCAAAACATAACCAAAAAAATATCCAAAAACGGTTGGGTCCTCTCCAAGAACGATACTAGGCCGCAAAATGCCCCTTCTCTCACTAACCATTCACTTATATATCCATACCCACCTACTATCTGTGCTTTTGGGGTTTAACTGCACAAACACCAAAGCCAATAAAAACTCAAAAAAAAGCCCCAGTAAAAAATTCACTAAATCCCATCCCCCGGCAAAACCCCCCCACTCTTCATAGATCTAAACTTTCTCCCTGTTTATACATCCACACTTTCTCTGCAATCTACTCTACAGGACCTAAAATTCCAAAAAAACCTTGACCTAAACGCTTTCTTTATATTGCGACAGAACCCACAGGCACAACACCAGACACAAACATCCTATGACATTCCCCGTGTCCGACAAACCTTTACAAAAATTCAAGATGTCAAAACCCTAAAATTTGGAAAACCCTACCTGAAAATTTTAAAACTGCAGACATATTCACACCTTCAAAACTACCATCAAAACATCTTATCTCCCCGATACCCCTTCACTAATTCACGAATACCACCTGGGGGGTTAACACTTACACTCACCACCCATTTGACCATAAACAGAAATATCAATCTCAATCTCAAAATAATGAATCTTAACTAGTCATAAGTTGGCCTGTGATACTCCAATACTGAAACTATGTATAGTGCCAAAACAAAAGCATTCACATTGCTAAACTCACAAACTAGTATTTAGTCACTTAGCCATAATACCAACTTACCTCATAATTTTTGTAATATTTTAAACTTAAGATTTAATTTAAGTCTGCCCAAAATGCCTAGCCATGCTAGGTGTTCTAGTGGTACACTCTGTAATTATTATTTTACTACATGTAAACCACACAATAACCAAATTCTGTAAACTCAGCATTGTAATCCTTATAGAGAATAAATTTTTGAATTTTGAATTTTGAATTTTGAATTTTGAATTTGAAAGAGCATATAAATCTGTAGGGAAAGGAAGGCAGGGTAGGGGGTCATCCTAGGAAAGGTTGGAGGGAGGGGATGAGGGAGGAGTGAATGGAGATGAATACTTTTTGGGACCTGATAAGCTCTAGGAGTGTGAGCAAGGTAATATTTTGTGAAGGGATTAAGGGAAACTGGTTAGCTGGACTTGAGTCCTGGAGGTGGGAAGTAAAATACCTGCACTTTCAAGGAGGAGTTTGGGATATTGGCTGTTTGGAGGGACATGTAAACTGTCGTATCTGAGCGCCTGTGCAAAGACAGTGATTATGTATGGATGATGGTGAAAGTGTTGAGCAATGATGAAAGTTTTTTCTTTTTTGGGGGGTTTTGCTTACTTTTTGGGGTCACCCTGCCTTGGTGGGAAACAGATGATATGTTAATAAAAAAAAAGTAAGTACTGTTCTATATACAGTACATCCCTGAATAACACACTAGTTATATTACCTGAAAATTGGTGCTTTACTCAGATTACAATTAACTGGAGTAAAGAACATACAAGATAAACAGGGTTGCCATCCTGAAAAATTATATAAAAAAAAAAATATATATATATACATACATATATATATTTTTTTTTTTTTTTTTTTTTTTCAACAAGTCGGCCGTCTCCCACCGAGGCAGGGTGACCCAAAAAAGAAAGAAAATCCCCAAAAAGAAAATACTTTCATCATCATTCAACACTTTCACCACACTCGCACATTATCACTGTTTTTGCAGAGGTGCTCAGAATACAACAGTCTAGAAGCATACACAATAAAGATACACAACATACCCCTCCAAACTGCCAATATCCCAAACCCCTCCTTTAAAGTGCAGGTACTGTACTTCCCATTTCCAGGACTCAAGTCCGACTATATGAAAATAACCGGTTTCCCTGAATTTTTTTTTTTTTTTTTTTTTTTTTTTTTTTTTTCAACAAGTCGGCCGTCTCCCACCGAGGCAGGGTGACCCAAAAAAGAAAGAAAATCCCCAAAAAGAAAATACTTTCATCATCATTCAAACACTTTCACCCACACTCGCACATTATCACTGTTTTTGCAGAGGTGCTCAGAATACAACAGTCTAGAAGCATACACATATAAAGATACACAACATATCCCTCCAAACTGCCAATATCCCAAACCCCTCCTTTAAAGTGCAGGCATTGTACTTCCCATTTCCAGGACTCAAGTCCGACTATATGAAAATAACCGGTTTCCCTGAATCCCTTCACTAAATATTACCCTGCTCACACTCCAACAGATCGTCAGGTCCCAAGTACCATTCGTCTCCATTCACTCCTATCTAACACGCTCACGCACGCTTGCTGGAAGTCCAAGCCCCTTACCCACAAAACCTCCTTTACCCCCTCTCTCCAACCCTTTCGAGGACGACCCCTACCCCGCCTTCCTTCCCCTATAGATTTATATGCTTTCCATGTCATTCTACTTTGATCCATTCTCTCTAAATGACCAAACCACCTCAACAACCCCTCTTCTGCCCTCTGACTAATACTTTTATTAACTCCACACCTTCTCCTAATTTCCACACTCCGAATTTTCTGCATAATATTTACACCACACATTGCCCTTAAACAGGACATCTCCACTGCCTCCAACCGTCTCCTCGCTGCTGCATTTACCACCCAAGCTTCACACCCATATAAGAGTGTTGGTACTACTATACTTTCATACATTCCCTTCTTTGCCTCCATAGATAACGTTTTTTGACTCCACATATACCTCAACGCACCACTCACCTTTTTTCCCTCATCAATTCTATGATTAACCTCATCCTTCATAAATCCATCCGCCGACACGTCAACTCCCAAGTATCTGAAAACATTCACATATATATATATATATATATATATATATATATATATATATATATAAAATGGTTTTAAGAGTTAAAGCAGGCAACTTTAGCAGACTTTAAATGCTGGTTGTAGCTGCTTCTTGATGTGTGTGTAGGTCCACAGAATGTAAGATTTCAGGATATACCTTTGATGAGTTTCGAGAGTTGCTCTATTCTCGGAGCCTGGCCATGGGCCAGGCTCACTGACAATGGGAACTATCAACCGTTCAACAAACAGGGCTCCAGTCAACTATAATGCCTTGTATGACCACCAAATAACAAGCTAACCAGTCTTGCCTTGTCCTTATACTGCACTGAGCGTCTGTACATGATAAATTAACAAAGGCTTACACTTGAAATCACCTGGTGCATTAGCACTGAAAAGCAAGCTGAACTAGTACATACACCGCTGCCCTGAACTCGGATGCAAATTTTTCTTGCTTGCTAATGTAAGCTCTTGATGGCATTTTCATTCAACATAAGCTTGTCTAGTCAGGACTGTAACCATTTTCAGAAATAATTTGCACAAACTTGGCAGAGAAATTTCCTGAGGCAATGTGATCAGTTGATGCACTCTAGCCATTAAACATTTCCAGGCAGCCAAATGAGGTTTTTAAATCACAAACCAACCAGTACTAAATATATGAACACAGTTGAGAAGGCTTTCCTTCCTTCTCTCTCACAGTTTAAAAGGATGATATGGCATCATGCCTTATTATCTGAGCACTAAGTGGGGCACTTTTCCATAGTTTCTCCTCAATCCACACATTCAGTAATTGTTCAGTGTTATTTAGCTGTACTGACCTATTTGTCATTCATTTCAGCAAATCACAAACTGGATTACTTATTGAGCAAGCTGTCATGTTCTTCTCAGTCTCTAATGGTACAAACTGTTGATTTTCTGAAATCAAAGGAGCATGCAACTACATGGCAAGTGCACTGTCTTGAAGCATATCTTAATTTTCATTGAAACAATCAGTTTCACCCTTACTTTTCTTCTCTACACTTCTAACTTCATTAGTATTCCTTTTGGATGTCATGGTTAAAATCCAGAGATGAGAAGGGATAATGAAAATGTCCAAAATCATTTGATTATCACACTGAATAAGGAATGCCAATGCTTCCAGAAAGCAACTGGAGGCAGTACATTGATATGTGATGCTGGGTTTTTCCCAGGCCCAATCTGGCATGGAGAGGAAAATATCCCACTACTCAGCAATCTTGAGATTCCATGCAAAACTCATTCCATGCTTTTTGTCCACACTTTATGGTACAGTACATATGGTCAGGGGCTCTTCTGCATAAACTGGTTTATGATGGTATTTGATATAGTGCTTTTTATAAATCTTACAGACCAATTTTGCATTAACAAGGGGTATGCTGTACCGTAATACAGTAGATGCACTACTGTACACTACTGTGGCTGGAACAATTCCTAACTCACAATATGGTCTATCTTGAACCATGTTGTCAATCATAACCTGATCATAGTAAATCATGACCTGACAATGGTTCACGACAAACCAAAACAGTCTAAAGTTTCTTCTCCTCCCAGTGAATTAGTTGTGTCTTTAAAAAACTATTCCTTCATGTAAATGAAGATGTGCTACAGTACCTTATAACATTAGAATAACTTTATTATGTAGTCATGAGGAATCAAACTTACCTTGACCTTCTGCGGTCTGGACTCCGAGAACGGCTTCGAGATCTCCTGCGCCTAATATGAAAGATAAATGTAAAAAAATAAAAAGGTCATAACCTACACTGAAAAAAAGTAACAGCAGAAAAAATCCTGGGTTAATTTTATATACGTACTCCACATATTTTCATCCAGTGAAGAAGAGACCTCATAAACCAAAAGTAAATGTAAATGAAATAAGAGCAGTGGTTTTCTTACAATGAGAAAACTATGCGATGTTTCCTTCTACTTCATAGGACATACAGCCAAGCTTTGATGGAGTCTAAGATGCAAATTAGTGACAAGGTATTGGAAGAAGTCAAGAAATTTAAGCATGTGGGATCAGTAATATGAAAACATGAAACAATAAAAGAATAAATAACACTTAGAACCCAAGGACTTACTATGAACATGAGAAATGTCACAACGGATGCAAACATATGCCATTGCATTTACATATAATTAAGTTGGGCTAACAACCAAGTAATTTTGGGGAGAGGTGATGGAACCAAACCAAAGTTTTCCAAGAGAAATCCAATGAAGGTCCCACAGACTAAAGTTACTCAAGGAAAAAATTTGTGTCTTTGTCGTGAGTAGAAGAATGCTGGAGGCAGGGCTTGCTCTGCCTAAGATAAAACTGCATACCCTATTGAAGGGCATAAACAACAAAACCCACTCTACTAATTAAAAGTGTTGCAAAATCACTGAAAAACAATAAATACTACTAGTGTTTAGTGTACCTAGCATTTTATTTTGTCACTGATGGTCTCACTGAACATCCAACTAGAGCTTATTGACCAGCACTGCAATTTCATGTTTATGAAGCAGTTCAAATTGGTGCTGCCTTCTGTTATGCCTCTCTCAATATACAGCAGTTATTTTCTACTGAGCAGTAAATCCTCCCATAATGTGTGGATTACATTTCATAAAATTGGCATTATGTAAAACAGCATCAAGCAAAGTGAAGAACATATGGGAAAAAATATAAGGTCATATTCCAGACACCACCAATTTCCTTCTTTAAACACTTTTTCATTCTTTATTATCAAACCCCGCTATGTTCCACAATTCTAGAAACAGGCAGAGTAGATATATTAAAGTAATGACACCAGACACCAGAACAATTTCCTTCTTTAAACACTTTTTCATTCTTTATTATCAATCTCCACCATGTTCCACAATTCTAGAAACAGGCAGAGTAGCTATAATAATGTAATGACAGAGTGATTTTGATAATGTATGATACTGAACTTTAGTGGATGCTTCATATTGTTGCACAATAAATATTCTCTTCTCTTTATACAGACCATGTGTCTGGTGGACAAAAGTCCACGTGAAAATGCACTGTAAGAGGGTTTACTGCACTACTTTTATTTTTAAACCACATCTCCCATCTCCCACCAAGGTAGGGTAGCCCAAAAAGAAAACCTTCACCATAATTCACTCAATAGCTGCCATGCCTGAAGTATGCAGACATCACAATTCAAATGACCCTGCAACTGCAGCATCCCTACTTAGATAACATGTTATAATCCATACCCGAATAACTGTACAAGTATTAAATAGCTTGCAAGTATACTGTACAGTACTTTACAAAGGGCTTCTCTTAGAGTGTACAAAATGCTATTTTTCCAGAGCTAAATAAATAAAAACACTATTTCTTGAAAATAATACTTAACTGATTTGTTTGAAGAAAAAAAATTAAATTATTTTTCAATGGTTTGATCCTACCACGAATGAACAAACCAAAATTGCGTCTCGAGCAGTCTGAATGCTGATCCAACTACATTAACCCTTTGACTGTTTCGGTCGTATATCCTGTATATGTTTTACGAGCCACTGTGTTTGACGAATATATACTCATAAATTCTAGCGGCTTCAAATCAAGCAGGAGAAAGCTGGTAGGCCCACATGTGAGAGAATGGGCCTGTGTGGTCAGTGTGCACCATATAAAAAAATCCTGCAGCACACAGTGCATAATGAGAAAAAAAAAACTCCCGACAGTTCTTTATTCAATTAAAATGCCGACTTTGGGGTCTATTTTCGTATAATATTTATGGTTTTATTCTTGTTTTCTTGGTCTCATTTGATAGAATGGAAAACATATTATAGAAATAGAGGTGATTTTAACTGGTTTTACTATGAAAAGAACCTGGAAATGGAGCTCAAAGTAGGGGAAATGTTTGATTTTTGCCGATGTTCAAAAGTAAACAAATGATGTCATTGTCCAATAAATGTCCAACTAGCCATTCTAATATGCAGTCATGAATGAGTTGACATTATTTATACAATTATTACAATATTACAGTAGTTTGCATAACAGTAAATCTTCTATTTTTTGTTTGAATAAAAATTCAAAATAGAAAGCAAGAGTTATATCTGAGGAGCCTGGAGACATGACTGATGAACAAAGAAAATTTTATTTTAGAGCCAGGAATGTCTGCATTGTTCATTCTGGACCCTATCTTGAAATTGTCATATTTTTTAATTTTCGTGAAATTGGCCAAATTGCAAATTTCTGACCATGTTATTGGGTAGTTGAAATCAGTAAATGGGCAGTTTCTTGTACTCAGTCAATAGAAAAAATGGACTTCTAAAGAAATAGCTATGAGTTTGGTCCACTGGAACAACGGAATTAGCTGAAAATAGGGCTCAAAGTTGGCGAAATCGCCGGTTTGTAAATATCGCCGAGGTCTCTAACTTCGTGAAAGCGTAATTCCGTCAGTTTTCCATCAAATTTCGTTCTTTTGGTGTCATTACCATCGAGAAAAGATTCTCTATCATTTCATAAGAAATAATAATTTTTTTTTTTTTTTTTTTGAAATTTTGCGACACTAGGAGGCACTTCAGTTTTTAGGGTTTTGACAGTCAAGGGGTTAATGTGATGTGAATATACAAATTTAATAAACTAACAATAATATTGTGTATTATACAATTGGCTAATTACTTTATTATCCTAACACAGTAATGTAGACTTAACTAATTAATAACTAAACAATTAACAAAATATTTAACAACAGATTCAAATGTAGCCAAATAATGTTAAAATAATAAACCATAAATCTAGCGGATATATACCGTCAGCAAGCGCTTGTTTATCTTTTGGTATTCGTCATGTAGTAAAGATAACATAGCCTTTAGTAATCTTCACCACCTTATACTCAATGCGAATTTACATTTATGTCTATGGCTAAAGTGTCTGATCTAGATAAGAGGCTCTTTCTTTTGTAGTATAAGACTGACAACATTTCTTACCTATGCACCATTCCAGTTGAGAGTCTTAGACCTAGTCTAGGAGTCCTGGCAGAGGTACTGGGAAGATTTAAGAGCTGGGTAACTGGTTCGTCGAGTAGCCCCCTACTTTTAACCCTTGGCAAGATGTGGTGAAGCTTGAAGGGTCTTAAAGTTCCCTAAAGTTTCCCACAAGTGAATGCCAGGGTGAAAATCCTCTATATGCAGGGACAGTGCTTACCAACCAAGGCATGCAAGACCCTATGTCTGGCTCTTATACAATGTCATGCAGATTACTCCTGTTCATCATGGTAATCTGGTCTAACAAAATATCTGAAAAACAAACTGCAAGTTATTAAGAAATGAGATCAAAAGATTTATCCTGGACAAAGGTGCAAGGAAACATAGGCCAGGATGAACTGTAAAAATCAGACATGCTAAAACTGCTCTATAACTGAAAGTTAAAATTATAAAAAATAAATGACTAAGAACTTATGCCAGAACTAACTTGCCTTAACATATTGAGGCAAGGGTTAGGGATGAAAAAATATTAGAACTGTGCAGTGCCAGAGAAAGTGAATACAGTTTTGCAGTACTGTATCCATTTTATACATGCAGGTTTTAAATACTTTATTCTATGCAATTATACAAGACTGGAATGAGTCACTTAATCATGTAAAAGGTCAGTACTGTAACAGCATAAATTAATTTAAGACTAAAGGTAAACTAAGGGGTATCTAATTGATGGAGCTGCAAAAGAAAAAACAGTGGCTTTTTGCAGTACGTACAGTATTTTTAACATATGCTACAATAGTAGTAGTCAATATGCAGTGTATATCAATTTTTTGGTATAACATACAAACAGTTGTTGCCTTCTAAGAAGAAAAATGTCACTATCTTGTACATGTGTCTAAACATGATGCAAAACAACATTGATCACAATAGAAATACAGTGGAACCTTGGTTTTCGTTTGTCCTGGTTTTCATCGAATTCGATTTTCAACGACTTTTTTTCGTCAAAATTTTGTCCCAGTTTTTGTTCATCACCTCGGTTTTCATCGAGTTGACAGTAGTCCGCCGTACTGAACGTGTCTGCCCGTGCCCACACAAAGCATCCCATGAGTTCTGAGTCAGTCTGGCTTTGTTTCTCGTCAGTAGAGGGTGGTAGTGATGGTGGTAGAGGGTGGTAGTGATGGTGGTAGTGATGGTGGTAGAGGGTGGTAGTGATGGTGGTAGTGATGGTGGTAGAGGGTGGTAGTGATGGTGATAGTGATTGTGGTAGAGGGTGGTAGTGATGGTGGCAGTGATGGAGGTAGAGGGTAGTAGTGGTTGTACTGGAGGTAGAGGGTGGTAGTGATTGTGGTAGAAGGTGGTAGTGATGGTGGCAGAGGTTGTGATGGTGGTAGAGGGTGGAAGTGATGGTGGTAGAGGGTGGTAGTGGTAGTAATGGTGGTAGAGGGTGGTAGTGATTGTGGTAGAGGGTGGTAGTGATTGTGGTAGAGGGTGGTAGCAATGGTGGTAGAGGGTGGTAGTGATGGTAGTAGAGGGTGGTAGTGATTGTGGTAGTGTGGTAGTGATGGTAGTAGAGGGTGGTAGTGGTTGTGATGATGGTAGTGATTGTGGTAGAGGGTGGTAGTGATGGTGGTAGAGGGTGGTAGTGATGGTGGTAGAGGGGTGGTAGTGATGGTGGTAGAGGGTGGTAGTGATGGTGGTAGAGGGTGACAGTGATGGTGGTAGAGGGTGGCAGTGATGGTGGTAGAGGGTGGTGGTGATAGTGGTAGAGGGTGGTAGTGATGGTGGAGTGGTTGTAATGGTGGTAGAGGGTGGTAGTGGTTGTAATGGTGGTAGAGGGTGGTAGTGATGGTAGTAGAAGGTGGTAGTGATGGTGGTAGAGGGTGGTAGTGGTTGTAATGGTGGTAGAGGGCAGTAGTGATTGTGGCAGAGGGTGGTAGTGATAGTGGTAGAGGGTGGTAGTGATGTGGTAGTGATGGTGGTATGAGGGTGTTGTGATGAGTGGTGGTAGTAAGGGTGGTGAGTGATTGTGGTAGTGATGGTGGATAGAGGGTGGTAGTGACAGTGGTAGAGGGTGGAGTGATGTGGTATGAGGGTGGCAGTGATGGTGGTGTAGAGGGTGGCAGTGATGGTGGTAGTGATGGTGGTTAGAGGGTGGCAGTGGTTGTGATGGTGGTAGAGGGTATGTATAGTGATGGTGGTAGAGGGTGGTTAGTGGAGGTAGTGATGGTGGTAAGTGGTAGATGGTGAGGGTGGTAGTGGTAGTGATGGTGGTAGAGGGTGGTAGTGATGGTGGTAGTGGTTGTAATGGTAGTAGAGGGTGGTAGTGAGTGTGGTAGAGGGTAGTAGTGATGGTGGTAGTGGTTATAATGGTGGTAGGGGGTGGTAGTGATTGTGGTACAGGGTGGTAGTAATGGTGGTAGAAGGTAGTAGTGATGGTAGAGGTTGTGATGGTGGTAGAGGGTGGTAGTGATGGTGGTACAGGGTGGTAGTGATGGTGGTACAGGGTGGTAGTGATGGTGGTACAGGGTGGTAGTAATGGTGGTAGAGGGTGATACTGATGGTGGTAGTGGTTGTAATGGTGGTGGTGATTATGGTAGAGGGTGGTAGTGATGGTAGTTGAAGGTGGTAGTGATGGTGGTAGAGGTTGTGATGGTGGTAGGGGGTGGTAGTGATTGTGGTAGAGGGTGGTAGTAATGGTGGTAGAAGGTGATACTGATGGTGGTAGTGGTTGTAATGGTGGTGGTGATTATGGTAGAGGGTGGTAGTGATGGTAGTTGAAGGTGGTAGTGATGGTGGTAGAGGTTGTGATGGTGGTAGAGGGTGGAGATGATTGTGAAAGAGGGTGGTAGTGATGGTGGTAGAGATAACCTCTCCTCCCTTTCCCCTCCTCACCGTCTTCCATACGCCAACAAGAATCTTTAATAAAGGTAAAAGTGATGTTAATGCTTCAGTTTTCGTTGAATTTGGTTTTCGTCAGACTTTCTAGAACGAATTAATGATGAAAACCAAGGTTCCACTGTAAATCATATACTGGTATACTGTTCGGCTTTACTGGGGTATAATAGTACTCAATTTTTAAATTATAACACTACTATGTGTATAAATTAATAACTTACACTTAAAATTGGAGCTTGTAAAAGGAATGGCAAACTGACCCCTAATTAAGCTTACTTAATTTAAAAAGTATTCATAGTCTAACAAAAAATGAGCACTGTATATCAATATATAGTAATGTAATTTTTTTTTATCAGAATTATAAAATATTCATCCATCCATCTCTTTCTATCCTCCAACTTATCTCTATATCCCTCCAATTTATCTCTCTCTCTCTCCAACTTATCTCTCTCTCTCTCTATCTGATCTCTCTCTCTCTCTCTTACTCAGCTCAATCTATACAGGAACTCCATATGAAGAACCCAGATGCACAAAAGTTCCCCTTCATACACGAACTTCAAAAATATTGTTAAAAAAACACCTCCTAAATCTGACTTAAACCGTACTTAGTGTCTGTTTAAACGTTGTGTATCATTTGGTGAATTATATTTGCATCATATTGAGGTTCACACTATCACCAATTTGTTTCAACAAGTATTAATCTCAAAATATTTTATTCACATCCCAAATTGTCATAGTAGTATTTAAATGCCAAATACGGCACACTATACCATTCTAATAAGCTATTATATTTGTCTCATTGTCTAGCAATTATAAGTTAATTTCAAGGCTGTGCAAAATGCTCTGCATAACAAGGGGATTTCTATAGTTTATAAATGACAGTCACTCCAATGTAAATTGCATACTGTACTGTATTCCACTTTTCTGAAATAATGTCTGTAAGCAAATCTAAGGAAATGCACCTAACCGAACATAAAATACCATAAGGTAACTTAACCTTACCTTGGCCACAGCACTGGCATTTTTTTTTTTACATTTCAGCGAGCACAACTAAGCACTGATTAGCTCAAGACACAGTGCACCACAAAAATAATTTTAATATTTGCTAATATCTTCCCAAAGTAACAAATTATATACAGTGGACCCCCGCATACCGTACGCATCACATAACGTTCAATCCGCATACCGCTCGCTTTTATCGCAAAAATTTTGCCTCGCATACCGCTCAAAAACCCGCTCACCGCTCTTCGTCCGAGACGCGTCCAATGTGCGCCCTTAGCCAGCCTCACATGTGCCGCCGGTGGCATTGTTTACCAGCCAGCCTCCGCGGTAACATCCAAGCATACAATCGGAACATTTCGTATTATTACAGTGTTTTTGGTGATTTCATCTGCAAAATAAGTGACCATGGGCCCCAAGAAAGCTTCTAGTGCCAACCCTACAGCAATAAGGGTGAGAATTACTATAGAGATGAAGAAAAAGATCATTGATAAGTATGAAAGTGAAGTGCGTGTCTCCGAGCTGGCCAGGTTGTATAATAAACCCCAATCAACCATCGCTACTATTGGTGGTACAGCTGCTGCTGCTGCTGTACCACCGTCAGCTGCTGCTGCTGCTGCTGCTGCTGCACTGTCAGCTGCTGCTGCTGTACCACCGTCAGCTGCTGCTGTGGTACCGTCTGCTGCTGCTGTAGCATCGTCTGCTGTTGCTGTAGCACTGTCAGCTGCTGCTGCTGCTGTAGCACTGTCAGCTGCTGCTGCTGCTGCTGCACTGTCAGCTGCTGTACCACCGTCAGCTGCTGCTGTAGTACCGTCTGCTGCTGCTGTAGCATCGTCTGCTGCTGCTGTAGCACTGTCAGCTGCTGCTGCTGCTGTAGCACTGTCAGCTGCTGCTGCTGCTGCTGTAGCACTGTTGTTGGTGTGGCTTATTGAGAATACCAAGAAACAATTAACCCCAGAGGATTTGCCACCCAGGATAACCCAAAAAAGTCAGTGTCATTGAAGACTGTCTAACTTATTTCCATTGGGGTCCTTAATTTTGTCTCCCAGGATGCAACCCAGACCAGTCGACTAACACCCAGGTGAACAGGGAAAAATGCCTGGAACTAGTGCTCATATTGGTGAATTTAAAGCCAGCAAAGGTTGGTTTGAGAGATTTAAGAATCGTAGTGGCATACACAGTGTGATAAGGCCTGTTCTGGAAGAAAATGCCAAACAGGACCTACAGTACTCAGGAGGAAAAGGCACTCCCAGGACACAGTGTCTCATCAGTCATTGCTGCATCTTCAATAAAGGTAAGTGTCATTTATTCTTCATTTAGTAGAGTAGTACATGCACAATATATATTGTGCATGTACTACTCTACTATTGTGCATGTATCCTTCTCTTTGTGTGTAGGAAAATGTATATTTCATGTGGTAAAAATTTTTTTTTTCATACTTTTGGGTGTCTTGCATGGATTAATTTGATTTCCATTATTTCTTACGGGGAAAATTCATTCGCATACCGATCATTTCGCATAACAATGAGCCCTCTTGCACGGATTAAAGTCGCTATGCGGGGGTCCACTGTAAACTGTACATTACTTGTAGCAAAATGCAAACTAAGTCACCTTGTCTCACATTCTTGGGTTATTCTGGGCAATTTACATATATGCTGCTATGTATGATAATTGATAATTTATATAACTGTATTTATGTGCACCTGTATGTTAATAAACTTACTTATTTATCTCATTATGTAAAATGTGCCATAATATAATACTTCAACCTCTTAATCAGTTCATGTCAATTATAAATTTAATTACTGCTAAACCACTAACTACCTCTGCTGAAATATAAAAAAACGATGTGTAATACACAAATAACCCGCAGGGCCAGGAGCTTGGACTCGACCCCTGCAACCTCAACTAGGTGAGTACAACTAGGTGAGTATAGAAAAGAGGAGCTTACGACGTTTTGGTCCGACTTTGTAAATGGTTCAAGTCGGACCGAAACGTCGTGGTAAGCTCCTCTCTTCTATATGCAGGTTATTTATGTATTGTTCCAGTCATGGTATTGTGCCTTTTTTTTTTTGTTATTTAAAGATTGTACAATTCAAACCAACCATATTACATATGTCTAGTATTAAATAGTGTGTTAAGCATGAGAATTAGCGTGCCTGATCATCAAGCTCCGGCATGCTAGTGACAGTCCTTGTACTTAGCAAATCAAAATTATAATTACACATTACAAACTATGCAACGAAATAAAATCCTTAATCCTTAACGATTACTAAGAGTTCCATTGAAGTAGTGAGGAAAGGTTAAGAAAAACATACAACAGGTGAAACGTTTCGCCTACACAGCACGTTTCATCAGTCAAATATAAAGAAGAAAACAGGTTAGGAAGATATATATAATGGTACCAGTACCACCACTTACCACTCAATATGGACTTACTACCTCAATATTTCCTCTGGAGACCAACCCAGACATAAACTATGATAATCTAACACACACACTTACCTGTTATCTCGTGACATAATATAATTTCACAGGTGAAACATTAACAACACTACTGTGTACAACGCCGCCAACACACCTTCAATCAGGCTCGTCTTAACCACAAAATTCTATTGCAAATTTCTTTATTAATTTGCCTTGGGTAGCTCACTGGTTATCAGTGTTGAAATTGATACATCGCCTCGATGGTAAGTTGATTTTATTTGGTAATTTATGTTTTTTTTTAATTATTGTCCGGTGATAAGTTTGTTTATATAATCTGTATTTAGGTTATGTAAGGGGAGAGTTGGTAGGGTGAGGGGCCCGTGTTTGTGGTCCCTGGGGCCCAGGGTCCCTGAACCAGGGGTCCGAACAAATCTTATCTTGTCCCTGGATAAGATAAGATTTATTCGGATTTTTAACCCAGGAGGGTTAGCCACCCAGGATAACACAAGAAAGTCAGTGCGTCATCGAGGACTGTCTAGTCTTATTTTCGTTGTGGTTCTCCAGTATTGTCCCCCAGGATGCCACCCACACCAGTCCACTAACACCCAGGTACCTACTTACTGAACAGGGGCAGCAGGTGTAACGAAACACGCCCCCCAGCATTTCCACCCGTGTTGGGAATCAAAGTTTATTCTCTATTCTGTATTGTGCCAAAACAAAAGCATTCACATTGCTAAACTCACAAATTATGATGTAGTCACTTAGCCTTAATACCATAATCTGTAAGGATTTAATGTTAAGAATTAATCTAAGTCTGCTCGAAATGCCTAGCTAGGTGTCCTAGTGGCCCTCTCTGTAATTAGTATTTTATAACATGTAAAGCTGTATAGCCCTTGTGGCTTAGCGCTTCTTTTTGATTATAATAATAATATAACATGTAAACCACACAATACCCAAAACCTGTAAACCCCACATTGTAACCCTTATAGAGAATAAACTTGAATTGAATTGAATTGAATTACAATGCGGGGTTTACAGATTTTGGTTATCGTGTGGTTTACATGTAATAAAATACTAATTGTGGAAAATACTATATATTTTCCAGAAATACAGTAGTTATTAAATGTAAATAGATGGCCATACTGTATTTAAAATTTATGTAATCGAAAACGGGAAGCTGCGCCTGCGCAGAAGGAGACTCGCCATTATGGTTTTGAATTTTGTACAAACGTTGGTGTAATGGGAAGAATTTTTCGTGCTCTAGAGGTTAAAATTGTGTTGACACCTCTCAAATAGGAGGCAAAATTGGTGGATGTGCATTCCTGCATAACTTGAGATATCAGACGACTGGACAAGACAGCTCCAGGAACCTCAGATAAGCTCTCTAGATTTGTGTGTAATTCTGGCCAGCATTATTTTCATAGATTTAGTATGAGGTTTTCTGAGTATGATACACATTAATCTCCAGTCAAATTGGTGAGTGATATTAAGATATATTTTCCTTCTGTTATGTAATTGTGTATATATATATAACCATTTATTATTTTTAATATACAGTCCACAAATTTATATATTTACCAGTATTCCTGGTGTATGTATATTTCATTTAATTAATAGGTCCAGAGCAACTTGTGGTTATGACAGTGGTAGGTATCGAAGGGGGACATTTTTTGCGACCTAGGTGTCCCAAATTCCTACTTGTCTATGTAACATTGATAAATAATAATTATCTTTGTTATCATTTACTGTTATGTACATAATTAGTTACATTCAGATAAATGCAATTTTCCATACTAATTACATAGGGGGCCACTATAGCACCTAGCATGGCTAGGCATTTCTGGCAAACTTAGATTAATTCTTAACCCTAAATTATAACAAATTGTGGAGTAAGTTGACTAAATACTAAGTGACTAAATACTAGTTTGTGAGTTTAGCAATGTGAATGCTTTTGTTTTGGCACAATACATAGTTTCTATATTGGAGTATCACAGGCAAACTTGTGACTAGTTAGGAATCATTATTTTAAGATTAAGATACGTATTTCTGTGCTTATAGTCATATGGGTGAGTGAGTGAGTGTAAGTGTGAACCACCAGGTGGTTTTTATGTAGTTAGTTGATGGGGTGTATTAGGGAGATAAGATGTTTTCTAACTGTAGTTTTGAAAGTGATGAATGTGTCTCCAGTTCTAGAGTTTTCAGGTAGTGTTCCAGATTTTAGGTCCTTTGACATACATTGAATTTTTGTAAAGGTTTAGTTGGACACGGGGAATGTCATAGAGATGTTTGTGTCTGGTGTTATGCCTGTGGGTTCTGTGACAACTATCAAGAAAGCATTTTAGGTCAAGGTTAATATTAGAATTTAAGGTCCTGTATATGTAGATTGCACAGTAGTAAGTGTGGATGTTCTCAACAGGGAGTAAGTTTAGGTCTATGAAGAGTGGGGGGGTGTGTTGCCAGGGATGGGATTTAGTGATTATTCTTACTGCGGCTTTTTGTTGAGTTATTATTGTTATTATGGACACTCATTCAGGCGAGAGCGTTGCCAACTAAGCCATGGGATGCCAATATGATGATCCAGGTTACTGGACTAACCAAATTACAGGACAGCCCAGGTCACAGGACAAGACCCAAGTACCAGCACAAGACCAGGTCCAAAGACAAACTCCAGATCCCAGGACAAAACCCAGGTCCCGAGACAGAACCCAAGTAAGAAGACAGGATCCAGGTCCCAGGACAAGACCCAGGTTCCAGGACAAGACCCAAGTACTAGGACAGGACCCAGGCCACAGGGTCCTGAACCTAGATCCAGAACCCAAGAGGACGGTCCCCCATAAGCATTGGACTACAGGACGTCTCGCTCTCACCTGAATAATTTTATTTAGGTAGAATTACAGGTAAGCACGATTGTGCATGTTTTAGGCAGTGATAATTAGTCTTGCATAGTAATGCATGTAAATTAACTAGAAAAAACCCGCCCCTCTCCCCACACACACAAAAAAGTCAAGGTGACATATTCGCATGAGAATCCTTGTAATATTTTATTGTTAGCAGCCTAGCTATTAAATACAGTAAAAATCAGTCATGATATCATCAGAAAAAAAAATCTAAGCTAAATTGTGTGGAAATCATGCTTATGCTAGGACTGGTAAGTAGGTATCTGGGTGTTAGTCGACTGGTGTGGGTCACACCTGGGGGACAAGATTGAGGACTCTAGTGTTGTTGGGGTTTATAGGGCCACTGACAGCATACGCTGTATCGAGCCTGGCCTTCCAGTACTCGGAGAAGGAACCTCGACCAAAGTGGAAGTATGTTTGACAAATAACTGAGTATTATATGTCCCTGATGTGCCCTGAAGCCAGCAAGAATGAGCAGGTACAGGCCAAGATCTTCTGACGGTCTGGAGGGTCAAACCCCCCTCCATTGAGAAGGAGAGGTAGAATTAAAGTTTGTACCCCAAATGTGCGCAAGGTCACATGGAGAATAGTCCATGCAGAGTGGTAACATGGGCACCACAGCAGGAAGTGTTCCACTGTCTCAGGCTGTGAGGGACACCATGGGCAGTTCGGAGAGTCCATCCGAAGGCAGTGCAGATGAGTTGCCAGTCGTAAGTGCCTAACCACCCAGAGGTGAGTCAGTGCAACATCCACTGAGCAATTGGGATGGCAAGCCCAAGGGCAGGGGCCATTGAAAGATCGGACAGAGCTCAATGCCGAAGAAGAGAGGGAACGTACCAGGTCCTCCTGCCACAAATGGCGGATTTCCTTGAAAACAGTCCTCGTGAAATCACTGCGGCCCAGTACAAGAGGGGTAATGGTAGGAAGTGTGTGTGCGAGGGAGGCCACTCGGTCTGCCACTTCATTGCCCCGAATGCCAACATGGGCAGGTACCCACTGAAGGGAGATGCTCCAACCTGGACTCTGCAAGAAATGCAGAAGAGATTGCGTCTGTCAGACGAGGACGCATAGAGACCATGGACGGGCAGAGCACAAAAGTGCCAGGGAAGATTGGGAATCAGAGAAGGGAACCAAAGGCTGAGGGGTAAGGTGAGCAAGGACAAAAATCAGAGCATAGTGAATGGCGAAGAGCTCTCCTGCCAGGATCGAGTGAGCAGGGTCTAACCGCCAGGTTTGACACAGAGGGAGATCAGCAAAGAAGGTCGCAGAAGATGTAGAAGGGGGGAAAGTCTGTGCTGAGCTGTCCATGTAGATGGAGAATGAAGAACCATACGTGACAGAACGAAACTCTTAAAAGAGAAATGCAGCTAACTGAGGGGGTTCCCTGTTCCTGGAGGGCCAATCCAGGTGGATGTACCTTGCCAGGTCCATCCAAGGGGGGACCAGAGAGTGGAGAGGGAAGGGAGTCATCACTGGTGCAGGGAGTGTGAGGCAGGCCAGGGAACATTGGGCCTTGGCCACAAAGGAAAGCTAAACCAATTGATATTACTTACTAAAATTAATAATTACCATTTTTACTATCAATACAATTTACTCTTAACATTTTTGACATCATTTAATAACCATTACTTGTCTAATTACCTTAACCAGTTTTAATACCACATTTACTATCTTAGAGTACTCTTAATTACCTTGTACTGCCAAATAACCTCAAGTATAACTACCAGTGCAATTTTGAAAGAAATAAACATTACTTTTTCACTTATTTTGTAATCATTATTACTTACTAAAATTTTATTAAACACCATATTTACTACCAGTCAGTTTTACTTTTGTACATTAATCATTATTTTATACTTCTCATAACATTTTGTTGCCAAATTTCCAAGTTTGTATATTCAACTCCAACCTTTATATTATCCTTTGTACCTGTGTACCTCTGCACTTATGTGCCTCTGTACCTGTCTACCATCTTACTATCATATTATAACCAAGACATTGCCATTGTTATTTTTTACTTATTATTCTTTTGGTACTTTAATTTGTGAATTTTATTTTGTCAATTTAAATCTAGTTATACTCTTGATCTTGACAACAACCTATACCAGACCCTAGTGCAATTGCAAGTACCATTTCAATTTGTATTTTTATGTTATAAGTTTATATTATAAGTCCTATTCTAAGATTGTTTTCATATCTTAGTGACTATATTG